TACTTACTGTATCCCTCAAATTGATTTATGTCACTTTATTATACACGAGTGTACATTTACTTTTATCATTAACTGTATACTGAAACTTATGTAATAAATCAATTATATTTCAATATATAGGTTCAATGTTACATAACAAGACAAGAAATCACTATGGTACAGGTTGACATAATCTCTTTTATCAGTCTATTCCACACTATCTGGATAAATATATAAATGGGTAAATTAATGAGTCTAAATCGTTTTTTTTTTCAATTAAAATGTTAACGTTTCTTCTGGGTTAAGCTCGAAAAATATAATAGTTTTGAGCCTCTTATTTAAATTTTAATTTATAGATGGCAACCCTACGATTTAAAATATTGTTCTACGAATTATGCTACTTCTACCCTGCTCGTACAGTACTGGTTGAAGCGAGACGCTACATATTAAAATATAATTGTGTACGCTATTCGTTTCATGTACTTAATATTCCGAGGAAGGGCACTTATAAAAGTTTCGAGGAAGAAATATACTTTTACGGACAATACAAGTTAAAATCGGATCTATACTTGTCAATATTAATCATATAAAAAGTTCATAAAGTTTAAGTTTCATTAACTGACTGTGAAATTGTTCTCAATTATTATTAAAAAAAAATAAAATAAAAGTTAAAATCACTTTGACATAACCCTATTAAAGTAAACACAGCCAATTTCGGGGGTTAGGAACTAAGTATTGAGGGAATGTATGGGTATTTGTCATTTGTACTTGGAATCTACTTGTGAAATAATCTGACCGTAGTGGTAAAACTGAGTGCGATGCTAATGGTAGTATTAGAGTGTGGTATTAGAGTATACAGGGTGAAATTAAAATCATTAACATACTTCTAAGGCAGTGTTTACCAGTGAAATAAAAGATTTATTGGGGGGAAAAATGACAAGAAACTATAAGTTTTAGTAACCGTTTATCATCATGTGAGCCGTATGCTTGTTTGTCACCTCAGTGGTATATAAAAAAACGTTTCCATTGCCAACTTCACAGATGTGGAATAGAGAGTCAACGCATAAATAGTGGTCATAGATATCAAATGTGTAAAATTTAATTTACATAGTTTTACACATTTGATATGAACGACTGATTAACACTATTATAATTCTATTAAAGTATTCAAGAGACAGTAGTATTACAATCATACTATATTAATGGGAAAAACTAATTTAATTCCCACATTTATTAGGCTGTGAATTTTTTCTTGTTCCCACCCACATTTCTTTGCTAAAAATATTTAGTTTCACTAATACAACACACACTTAATAATAGCATACAAACTATTCCAATTCCACCCTGTATAAGCACGAAGTGACATCAAAAAAAGTCGAACATAGAACCTCCTCATTTTTTGAAGTCAGTTAATTAGAAACAACAACAATATCAACTTCATTATTGACAGTACAGACCCAATTTTGATACAAACAGACCTGCGTATTCACCCAGAGCACTAGTTAGTTTAAACAGTCCACCTGCATCGAAGTAGATTTTGTACGCTGACAAATTGCACCTATATTAGCTTCGTCTTCCCAAGTTAAAAAAAAGTCCCTTAACACATTTATAGATACGAACAGCACCATGGGGTTCACTGCGACACCCATGGTGTTCTATCATGTCAAATTTCATGATCTTTGCTCGAGTCAAAGATATCGAAAGTTAACACACACACACTGCCCGTCTCATTCATATTAGTAAGCATGCTCTAGGTCAATACGCGTCTGAAACCAAAGAATTACAAGCTACAATGACTCGCCGACTCCATCTATATGAATTCCGACATTTATCATTTAATATCATTGTTTAATATAAAAAAGAGCGTCATCTAATGAGGCAACAAATTCAATTTACAGTCAGTGATAATAAGAAATTCATATTAGTTCAAAGAGCTTATATAAATACAAAAAGCTCCCTCTCGCGCTTTAGTCAAACAACAAGCGAACACTTGTACTACGCATCGTTAGCAATGTGCAATCCATACGAGAATTAAATCTATCCATTCTTAAACATACAGTGTTAATGTGATTGAGAATTCTAGCGAGCGTGGTAAAAATTTACCACAACGATTGTTATGGTAACAATTATACAAACAAAAGCTGACAGACAACCGCAGACATCAAATTTACGTGGTAATCAATTACCACTAGTCGTTAATAGTATCGTGGAATTGTCACGACCGATCGTTTAGCACTAGAATGATTCAACTAACATTCTCAACCGCCCTAACCTCCATAATTGCTAAGAGAACCGCGAAACATACATACAAAACTGTACATACATACAGCTTAATAATTTACACACCACTGCACTATACCACCGCACCTATCTACATGCCATTGCGTGAAGATTTGAACGGGCCTTTATAATATACCAAATCATTATAAACTCAAGCATAAAACTTCCAATTTACAAATACCATAGATATGTGATTGTCTAAAGAATTAATAGAATCATGTCTAATGTATTTTATTCTATCGTCTCATATTTTACTAACAAAAATCGAAGGCTGACTAGTGTGGTAAAATCCAATGTACAATATTACAATTCTAATCTATGTGGTAATTTATTGTAAATACTTGTTTAATATTAAAATTGTTTAATTAGACAATAAGAATGACTTTGTATTTATTTAATTAACTGTGACTTTATAGCTCCTATCCTTAAGTATATACCACAATCGAATGTAATAAAATTGGAAATCTTGTATAATACCACAAATTTACGTGATATTTTTGCGTGCGTTAATTAAGTCCGTTCAAATCTAAACGAAATTTCGAATTATAAGACACTATACAAATACAATTTGAGACGCGCGCATCTTTTTTATTTCCCTTTTAGTTTTTAAGAAAATAAATGTCTTTTACAATGGTTCGTTATACAAAATTTAATATTTAACAGATTAATTTCATATTTAATTAATTAAATATATAATTATTACTGGTCTCTCATAGCAGGGAATCTTGAGGACCAGGCGGTGTGTGTAAATTACTTGATATAACCGTTGATTTCGGGGAAATTAGGCGGTTATTACACTATCGTATCGACCTTAGTGAATTATTGGCCTTATCCAAACTGGCAAAATTTTTAGAAATGATAAACAAGCTGACAGCCCACCTGATGGAAAAAGATGGCCGTCGCCTGTACACAATAGAGCCATGGACGTCACAGAATATTCTGTGACGCTCGCGGTAAGTCATGCGTTCCCAATTTTGAGGGCTAGGTTCTCATGTCGCCGTGGTCTGTAAGGACTGCCATATACGAGACACAAACTACATATATAATACACCAGAGGGAGACTTTGTACAAAAGTCGATTGCTTGGGTACCTCTGTCCCATTCGTGTTTCAACCGTAAAGCAGTTGTGTTTGCATGGCTGTGTTTCGGTTTGAAGGGTGGGATATGGCGTGAATTTACTGGGTACAGAGGAATAACAACTGAGTCCTCAGGAATGGCAACGCATGGGGGGTATCATGGGCGAAACAGTATACTCTGTTATGTCCACGGTACTGCTCATGTCTATAGGCGACGGTTACCACTTTCCATCAGGTGGGCCGTCAGCTTGTTTGCCATTCTAAGTTGTATAAAAAAAATAGTAAAGTAAAAAGTTTAGATATTTTAATATGATTCAAATATCATTTTGTAAATATTAAATTTTGTACTAACAATAATTATAGTCGAAATCAAAGATTCAAGAAAACCTAAAAAAAGCGAGATGACTCAATTGTGTGTACAGTCAACTAAAAGATTGCTTTTTTAACTCTTTTGTATCTCATTTCAAAATACAATCGTTGCATTTTATTTGATTGTACATTACTTATAGTATGTAAAAAAAAAAAAAAAAAAATTTGAAGCATACATTTTTACCTGACTGTACATCAGGAAGCCATACATTTGTACCATACGATTGTCATATAAACATAATTTCTGTAACAAAATTTTATTTTGGACAATTTTCACACAAGTCGGAATCATAACAATTTTCATTATGGCTGTGTAGCTTTATTCCTTTGTCAGTTCCGATGAAAAAAAAAATTAATATCGTACGTCAGATATCAAGTTATACTCAAGTAAATTTTAAGTATTTTTGGATCGCCATTTTGTTTTAATCAACCGCCCATTTATAATGTAATTTCTGCTGAGAACAACGAGCGAGAAACTCAGTTGTCGCTTTTATAAATAAAAAAAAAATTGTCAATTAAAAAAAAAATAACTGGATAATATGGCAAAAGATATTACAGTAATTAATATAAAACCCGCTGCGACAAACAACGCAACGGTCGTGCTGTGCTGTGAACTGCGCTCATGAACATGGGCTTCTACTGAGTTCGAATCTAATTGGAATTAAAAATGTGAAGAAAGCAAGTTTAAATATAAACAATATAGTAGTAAACTTATTATAGACATAAACAATTACAAGAAATAATCACAATGAGAAAACAAAAAAACAATGGGCGGCCTTATCGCTAAGAGCGATCTCTTGCAGGCAACCTTTGGATGGAGAGGAGTAATTATAAACAGTTTGGTGGGAGGCACGATGGAATCCTGTCCACTTTTAGTTTAATTTCATATTTATATGACAACCGTAAATATGTTTTAGTTGCAATACTGTCCCAATACGATATTGTATTAATTAAAACACAGGTCAAGTTACTTTTCATGTTTTTTTTTTTTTTTTGGAAAATTCACGAAAATTTATCAGAGATAAAATTTACACTTTTTTTAATAAATTACATTACTCGTCAAAACAAAAAAAAAATATGGAATTTATTAACAAGACATTATATATATATATATATATATATATATATATATATATATATATATATATATATATATATATATATATATACATGCATCATATATATATATGGTGCATTAATATTGTATTGTATTTAATGTTTGTTATACCTACATGTTATAATGCAATATGCTGTTGGTGTTCCTTAAATATATATATATATATATATATATATATATATATATATATATATATTGGGTTTCTCTGGACATTAATGGCGGAAAGCTCATCACCCATTTCGATATCGCCCATATCGGTCGGATATCTATTTACGAAGTCTGTTATCCAATATAATTTTTTGGATAACCCGACTTTTAACATATTCGTTATTGTACCAATATATAGATATTGTAACTAGAATATATAGATATTGCTATATATTATTATACATTTTAACAGTTTTTACTGTAACTGTCATGTTTGACATTTGGAGTCAAAAGTCAATTATATTTAAATACATTATCACAAATAATTTGTCAAATATGTAAATTTAATTTTACAGTAATCTTTTTCCATTAAACCATACGTCACATATAGTATAATACAACATACAGAGTATTAAGGGCCCGCCTTTAAATATATAATTACAATATCTCTATATTGGTCGAATAACGGATATATTAAATGAAGTGGATATATATCTCCAAATGAAATGAGCGATATCGAAATGGGTGACAATTCATTAATACATGGGTATCAATATCCAGAAAATATCGAATATATAGATATCAGTACGATATTGATATTACCTATGCGTACAGAGTACACAACTGTATACAAGGTGTTAAATTTTATATATTAGGACAATATTGAACTGTTTTTTTTTTTATACATGGTGTGGCGATTGCAATAGAATAAGTTAATGCAAAGTAACAATTAAAAAGCCCTATATATTGTTGAACGTGTCGGTCGAACGGTAGTCGAGTAACTAAACAAAGTACAAACGATGAAGAAGGGGTCGTGATCGCTCGCCGCTGGTGCAGACCCTGGAACAAACATCTCTTTTATAGAACACTTTTTTTATACACACTCACACAAATACACACGCACGCACACACACACACACACACCCATACAAACACCTATGCATATCCAAACTCACATTCACCAGAGTGAGGCTTATGTCCAACAGTGGGCTCTCTGATCTGATGACGATGATGATGTTATATCAGAACACATATCAGGGGGACCGGAAAGTTATATCTTTTGTGCGCATGTCGACATTTGATTGTCATTTGTCAACTTCGAAATCGTGTCGAAAAAAAATGGCGCATTTAAAGAAATATGTGTCAAATTGTATCAGTCAAATGTGAGTTTAGCTGACTGATTGTTGACATATTTTTGACACTCGATGCGCTATCTATTATTCTAAGATTTTCCTACTTCTACTCCGTGACACACACACGTACATAAAATTTAAAAAACTTGTAAGGACAACACCGTGAACATAATATCGAATGTCTGCAGTGGGGTGGGCCAGTATATACAGTGCCGTCCGCGTTCTCACCGCTAGTGCGCGTCGGTCTGCGTGGCGCGGGTGGTGAGGTGCGCGCGCCGCCGCCGCCGCTACGTGGCGCCACCGCCGCCTCCGCCGCCGCCACCGCCGCCACTGCGGCCCTCTTCGCGCTGCTTGCTAATATACACCTGTGGGGTTACACATAACAGTCAATATACACAGCGACATCTATGTATAATCTAAGCACAGCATGAGTACACAAAAAGCTTACAACTGTAGTTTTAAAAGCTCCATCTAGACATATATGATCTAAAGTAACAAACATATATTAGCTTCATCCTGCGACTACATCCACGTGACTGGAATGGCAACGCATGGGGGGTATCATGTGCGAAACAGTATACTCTGTTATGTACATGGTACTGCTCATGTCTATAGGCGACGGTTATCACTTTCCATCGAGTGGGCCGTCGGCTTGTTTGCCATTCTATGTTGTATAAAAAAAAAGATCATCATGATGGGCATTCATCATAATGGAATAGTAACCCCGCCTGCGCTATCGGTATACACCGGCGGGGCATCAGTGAAGAATGATAGGTGAGGATGAAGCAGGTCAGTTAGCCCGTCGTGACGAATTCAACAAGAATTGTTCACGATGGTTTCCAGGGGGAACCACGTGGAGGTCGACCTAATAGAGTGTATTGCTAACAATGGGTTCATCAGACCCCATTACTAACAATCCCTTTCCCCCTGGAATACAACAGTTTGTATTGCGCGAGGATTGAACTCGTGATCATCGGAAGGCGAAGTCCATGAGAGCAAGGTGGTGATGGACAACTGACCTGCAGCAGGCGGTACTTGCTGACGGAGAGATGCTTGAGGTGCGGCTGCATGCGCTCCTCGCCGAGCGCGAACGTGAACGCCACCATGCAGAACACGGCCGCCTTACGCACCGCCGAGTTCTGGTGGTCGGCCAGCTGAAACAAGATTATCAGTTTAAACTTAGAATGCCAAATGGTCCGGTGGAATAACCGGTTTTTGAATCGGAAAGATTCGGCTCGTAGGACCAAAAATATTTGATTTCCTAATATTATATACTAGCGGCCCGTCCCGGCTTCGCACGGGTGGACATTTTTACATTTAAAAAAGTGGCCATTAAAGTTGCACACGCGACGGAAGCTTAAAAATGGAGTAACTTCTCCCGTTTTCCCAACATTTCCCATCACTACTGTGCTCTTATTGATCGTAGCGTGATGAAAAGTATACTATAACCTGCCCAGGAGTATGAAGAATAATTGTACCAAGTTTCGTTAAAATCCGTTGAGTAGTTTTTGTTTTTATAACGAACATACAGACAGACAAAAATTTTACTGATTGCATTTTTGGCATCAGTATCGATCACTAATCACCCGCTGATAGTTATTTTGGAAATATATTTCATGTACAGAATTGACCTCCCTACAGATTTATTATAAGTATAGATATAATAGTTAAGGACGTGTGAGTGGTTGCATCTACTATATAAGATTGACTTGTCAATGTAATAAACCAGTGTGCTACAAGCGACGTGTCGTTTTACTTATCTTGTATACGCCTATCTAATAATAACAAAACGTTAACTGGTTGGCTAGGTGGAAAGAAACTTCCTCGATTAAACTCCTCCTTGAGAGGGGAAATGGTAAACTAATGGCGGAGTCAACCGATTAGATTTCAGGGTCTCAGGTAGGAAAAACGGCCCACAACGCGAGCAGTTGTTATTCCAGATTGGCACGGATAAAATACCTGTTTGTTTTTACTCAATGATTAGCTGTTAGAGAATTCCATACGGCATAAAGCTCGCCACTTGTACATTTTAATATATATATATTTATACAATTTAGAATGGCAAACAAGCTGACGGCCCACCTGATGGAAAGTAGTAATCGTCGCCTATAGACATGAGCAGTACCATGAACATAACAGAGTATACTGTTTCGCCCATGATACCCCCCATGCGTTGCCATTCCTGAGGACTCAGGTGTTATTCCTCTGTAACTCACTGTCATATCTCACCTTTCAAACTGAAACACAGCCATGCAAATATAACTGCTTCACAGTAGAAACACGAATGGGACAGAGGTACCCAAGCAATCGAATTTTATAATCTCTTTTTGGTCATTGAGCAATAATAAAGAAATAATAATAATAAAAAAAAACAATTCGCTGACAGAACTATAATTAGTGTATACCTGTCCGACTCCCTCCATGAGCTGGGCGACTATGTCGTCGGTGAGCTCGTGGCTGCGAGCCTTCGCCACTTCAGCAGCCAACTTGAGCGCGCACAGCGACGTCGGGTATCCGCGGGTGCGGATCACTGGCTTCAGGAGTGCCAGCACCTGTACAAACAGACAGATATGTCGACTCTTCTTTTCTTCTGAATAAATGAACTTTATTTGCTCGAATAAATGTTAATAAATCAGATTTTTTTTAATGTTAAAATAACTCACTGCATTTAACCGTGTGTCGTGCAAATATATTATTTGGAATTTGTTTTTAAAAATTTGCATTTTTTTTTATAACACTGAGATGGCAAACAAGCATACGGCCCACCTGATGGTAAGCGGTTACCGTAGCCTATGAACGCCTGCAATACCAGAAGTATTACGCGCGCGTTGCCGACCCTGAATCTCTTTACCCCTCTTTGAAGAACCCCACGCTGTAGTCTCTTAGGAAAACCTCGGCAGGGAGCTCATTCCATAATCTGAGTTTTCGTGGGAGAAAACATATCTTAAACCACGTTGTACGCGACCATTTAGTCTTCAAAATAGACTTCGAATGAAAGAAAACATTCCTCAATAAGCCAGCTGTAGTTTTTCATTAAATTTTTTGTGTGTCAGACCTCTGTATTCTGTGAGTAATTTATTATCCACAATGGCAATCGATCTTTATTTTTACGACTACTTCTGCCAGCGACAAATATTTTATTCGGGGGGAAAGGGATTGTAAGTAATATAGTCTAACTGACACATTGCCAGCAATACACCCTCCTCCACTCCTCCACGTGGTTCCCCATGGAAACCATCGTGGGTATTTCTAGTGGAATTCATCACGCTGGGCTGACTTGACCCTTTCATCCTCACCTCTTATTCCTCACTGGTGCCTCGCCAGCGTATAGTTAGCGCAAAACGTTAAACTTGGCGATATTCTGAAGAAAGAAACTAAATGTTTTTTCAGTGTATGATATGGTATAATACGCTGCCGGGGCACCAGTGGGAGATAATAGATGAGGATGAAAGCAGACCAGTTAGCCAATCCTGACGAATTCAACTAGAACTAACCACGATGATTTCCATGGGGAACCACGAGGAGACAGACCTGACAGGGTATATTGCTTCCCTCACCGTCTTGTTGTATAACTTGTACGTAGTAGGAGGAAAAGGGATTGGTAGTAATGACGTCTAACTGACCCATTGCTAGCAATACACCCTATCAGGTCAACGTCCACGCGGTTCCCTTTGGAAACCGTCGTGGTTAATTCTAGTGGAATTCATCACGACGGGCTAATAACCGACCTGCCTTTCATCCTCAGCTGTGATCCCTGAGTGGTGTCTGCAAGTTGGTTATGAGTGTACCTGGTGGGCGGGCAGCGCGTGTGCGACGTGCGGCAGGCCGGCGTCGACGGCGCGCATGACCTCCTTGCTGAGCGCGGCGTACGCGTTGATGAGCTTGAGCAGGATGAGGTCGAAGTAGTCGAGCCACTGCGGCCGCGTCTCGCGGCGCCGGCACAGCCACACCAGCACGCGCACCGCCTCCGCCGCCGCGCGCTCCTGCGACGTGCCCCAGCCTGCCCCACGTCCCACGCACACACACACACACACACTGCTTACTATGCCCACGCAGGGGGCGATGGTACCCCCAACGGTGGGACATGGCGTTAATTTACTGGGTACACAGGACTAACACCCGAGTCCTCAGGAATGGCAACGGCAATAGGGTGTATCATGGGCGAAACAGTATACTCTGTTATGTCCACGGTACTGCTCATGTGTATAGGCGACGGTTACCACTTTCCATTAGGTGGGCCATCAGCTTGTTTGACATTCTAAGTTGTATAAAAAAAAATACTTATAGTAAGTGTTCACCATTTTATCTACTGCCCACTTTGAGAATAAATTACTTTTGCACTCCCATGTTTTTACCTACTCAAAAACCACTATTACTTCAAGATCAACAAGTCACCCCCCAAACCTCTACACAACGCACCCATTTTTCTGTAGGTCTCCTACCACCCCCCTTTAGGCCTGCAGCGCCCACAAGGGGCGTAATCGCCCATTTTGGGAAAGGCTGACTTATAAGATCACCAACATAGATAGATAGATACACTTTATTGTTTCCTCCAAAAGATTACAATAGTAAACTTATTATAAATAACAACTCACTAGTATCCCATTTGCGTAGACAGAACTACCGTTCTATTATTACCCAAACAACATACCTGAGGTTTGCTGTGCGTTGGAGACAGCCTCGGAGTTCTCCTTGTCACCCGAGTTTTCCTCTATGGAGAGGGCGGCCAGAGCTACGCGTACAATGTTCCTGTAACAAACGTGCTAATGGTAAAAGTCGATATTTATTTTATAACTTAATAATCCTTTACACGGTTCCCGACTATCCTTCCGATGGGCTGATGACATAACCGAATTTACAAGAAAGGACTGGCAAACTATCAGCAAGGACAGATATGAGTGGGAAGGACTGGAAGAGGAATGGACTGGACATCCATCCTTATAAATTTTGGCATTTATAATATTAATAAGATTAGTTGACCCGCAAAACCGCCATCTACCGGCACCTAAGCTTAAAAGGATGAAAAATATCCTATCTGTCAAGGTGCGCTAAGATCCAGTGACTCGGGGGTAGTTGCCCCCGGAGTTGAAGCCGGGGTAAAGGGGAATTCCGCGAGACCTCCACCAACCTTTATCCAAGGATTTGATGACCATTGATTAATTCTATCTCTCAGTTGGTGAAAATGATACATATTTAGGCATGGCACGGGAGGGGGGGGGGAGGGGATTGTTAGTAATGGAGACTAAGAATCCCATTGCTAGCAATATACCCAACCAGGTCGACCTCCTCACAGTTCCCCCTGGAAACTATCACGGTTAATTCCTGATGAATTCATCATGATGTGCTAACTGGCCTGTTTTCATTCTTACCTATCACCCTTCACTGGTGCTCCGCCATCGTATACCGTTAGCGCAGGCGGGGTTACCATACCATTTTTCACCCATCAAAAAGAAAATGAGCCATACTCGAATTTTGGCCTTAGCAACAAATCTTTATTTATTTATTTAAGGCAAACAAACAGCTAAAACAATACATAATTATATACTTAAATAGTAATTTGGCAGCCACTAAAATTTGCACAAAATAAAATACAAGTAAACGAAACACAAAATTAGACAATACTAAATTAAACAAAATTAAACAAATATAAACAAACAAATACTATTGAAAACTACAGCAACATTGTCAATAATAATATGCTCAGAAGTTAATAAAACATTTTTTCAGAAAATGTTTCAAAAAATCTTACACTATTCAACAGATTAATCATTTTCAAATGCACGCGACTCACTTGAAGTACTCGCTGGGCTTCCTGCAGTCCCCGTACTTGAGGATCTCGTGCGTGGCCAGCAGCAGGCTCTCCCATTGTTCGGCCGGTGCCTGGGACACGTCCAGCTTGCACAGCGCCTCCAGGACTTCCTGCTCCCGGAGACCGGCTGTAAGAGGGTGCGTTTATGTTACAACGCCATCTAGCGGCGGGAGAGGTAAACTCGAATTACATCGAATTCTTGTAATTCGCCAAGCCGTGGCTGTGCTGTAGAATGGGATACGGCAGTGACCTTACAGGGTACAGAGACAACACCATTGTCAATATTTTACTGAGGGCTGGAAGCATTATTACTGTAATGCGGACTACCAGTCCCATTGCTAGCAATATACCCTGTTAGGTCCACCTCCACGTGCCCCCCCCCCGCCTGGAAACCATCGCGCTGAATTTCAGGTGCATTCATCACGGAGGGTTAACTGACCTGCCTTTTCAACCTCACCTATCACCCCTCACTGGTGCTCTGCCAGTGTATACCGTTGACGCAGGCGGGGTTACCATTTTATTATCATCCATTATATATATATACACTTAACAATCCATTACACTGGCAAACATCCTGTAAAACATACATTAAATTTCTTTTATAAAGTTTCCAATTTCTTTCCAACAGATGGCATTGTAAACAAATGCATATCAATAAAAGGCATAATATAACCTCTAGAAGGTTAGCGGTTCTAAAACAAGACCAAATGAGGATAGGTGGATAAAAATCAACTCCACCGTGCGTTTTTCAAGGCACTTTCTTCCACGCACAACCACTCTTGGAAATCAACTTTCAGCAGCAGTATTTCCGAACCGATACGACAACATGACCTTCAAGAAAAGAGCATATTCCTTTTTAAAAGGCCGGCAGCACATCTGCAATGCCGCTGGTGTTATGGGTGATCATGGGAGGCGGTAGTCACTTACCACCCTGTGTTGTAAATATATATATATATATATATATATATATATATATATATATATATATATATATATATATAGAAATACACTACTTACATTTGGTAATTATGAATCCGTTCTCATCCGTCTCATATGTTTTCATCCTGTCGCGTCCCGAGTTGTAGTCACTGTATAAACAAATATATTTATTACCAATAGCACACTAGACAGCGACACAAATTCTCTTAATACCTGTACATAATCATTATATTACTGAACGCAACTGTCACGTGACAGCTGTCAAGTATCAACACCGGTCAGATTTTATCTATATTTTAATCACTATGTTTGGTTGTCGTACAGTTGAGCAGCTATATGCTGACTAATTTATGTGAAACCATGTATTTTACCAGAGGGAGACTTTGTACAAAAGTCGATTGCTTGGGTACCACTGTCCCATTCGTGTTTCTACCGTGAAGCAGTTGTGTTTGCATGACTGTGTTTCGGTTTGAAGGGTGGGATATGGCGTGAATTTACTGGGTACAGAGGAATAACAACCTGAGTCCTCAGGAATGGCAACGCATGGGGGGTATCATGGGCGAAACAGTATACTCTGTTATGTGCATGGTACTGCTCATGTGTATAGGCGACGGTTACCACTTTCCATCAGGTGGGCCGACAGCTTGTTTGCCATTCTAAGTTGTATAAAAAAAACTAGGATCTTAAACAGTAATCAGCAAGGATAAGTTTAGAGGGAAAGTGAAAAGGTAAAGCCTATGGGTTTCGTGTGTGGTGTTACCTTTGATGGTGTGGGAAGTCGAGCCGGTTGTGCGCCGGCACCGGCGAGGATTCCTTCGTGCTGCTGGCCTCCTCGGAGCTGTCCGCTGACGCCGCACGCGCTATCGCCTCGCTGGGTATTTACAACAAACATATCAACATCATTGTATCAACCTTTAACTGTCCACTGCTGGGGGGAAAGGGATTGTTAGTGATGGAGACTGAGAATCTCATTGCTAGCAATATACCCAACCAGGTCGACCTGCTCGCGGTTCCTCCTGGAAACTATTATGGTTAATTTCTGATGAATTCATCATGACGGGCTAACTGGCCTGTTTTCATTCTCACCTATCACCCTTCACTGGTGCTCCGCCAGCGTATCCCGTTAGCGCAGGCAGGGTTACCATACCATTTTCACCCATCAAAAAAAAAAAAGAACTGTCTACTGCTAAACATAAGCCTTGCTTGGCTCTTGGGAGGGTTTTGCCAGTAGTAGCGACGCTTGGCAGGCGGATTGGCAACCGTAGTTAGGCTTTACAGATATTTAAAGAGGGACACTGTTGCCCATCTCTCGCCCTCCCTTAGTCTCCTCTTACGACACCCACGGGGAAGGAAGGGGTGGCCTATTCTATGCCGGGACCACACGGCCATTAACAAACGTATAAAGTATAGTAACTTGCAAGATAAGTCAAATCTGAATTTTGGCCGTACGGGGTCGCCACTGGATATCATAGTAGATAATGATAAACAATAAATAGAGAATAGAAGAGGCGATTTTTTAAAGAGCATAGTAGAAGGAAAAATAGAGGGTAAAAGAGGAAAGGGAAGACCGTGGAATATCTACATGGGATAGATAAAGGAAACACTAGGCGTCATGTCGTATAGGGAGGTCAAAGATATGGCCTGCGATAGAGCTGGCTGGAAGAGGATGAATGAATTAGTTGCACCGACGAGAGGAAACTCTTAAATGGGAGGACAGAACGATAAATCATGTTAAATGGTTTCAAGTACTACAAAGAATTACATTATAAATATTTATTTTTAATTTATAAAAAAACTAGCGATCCGCCCCGGCTTCGCACGGGTGCAATGCCGCACCGCTATGTCCCTGCATTTTTAATCTGTAATATCTTCGGCATTTAAATTACATGCTGTAAAGGGGGTATTGATCTATATTAAATGGACAATGTACTTAAGGTACTTAATTGCATAAAAATTAATGCTGTATTGCTTAAAATCACTTCGCAAATAAGACATTTTTCCCCTTAAAATGTAAAGGATAAAAAATAGTTATTGTGAGTTATTAGAAACCTTTAAATTTATCAGTGTTTCTCTACAATATTACGCATGTATTATACATATAAACCTTCCTCTTGAATCACTCTATCTATTAAAAGGAACCGCTTCAAAATCCGTTGCATAGTTTTAAAGATTTAAGTGTATATAGAGACGGACAGACAGCGACAGCGACTTTGTTTTATACTATGCAGTGATATGTATATACATACTTGTTGTAATGTCCGTTGGGCACACCGTTCGGGCGTCCAGAGAGCGTCACATCCGACATCTGGCTGATGCCGGAGTCCTTGCTGGACATGTGGTTACCGCACTCCGCTGCAACAACAACATCATCATCCATCATCACCTCCGCACGTATGCTAAACAACTCCGGTTGATGCAGTTATAGTTTTATCTTCGATACGTTGAAAATCTTACAAATTTATTATAAAAGAACGTAATAAAACAAGGTAACAGTGTTGTCCTATTCATCACATCTGATGTGTATTAATATAATAAAACCCACCGTTGGAGTGTTGAGCTGTGTATGTGTGTATCTCGGAGGTGGTCTTCCGTATCCTGGAGTACACGTCCTCCGCGTTGGCGGAGTTGCTCGTGCTGCTGACCGTGCGGAGTGGGCTGTCGCTGCCGGCTGTACCGACGATAAAAAGTTATAAATAAAAATTATCCGGCTCGAAGGACCATAATTTTTTTTATTACTAGGTAGCCGCTTCGACTTCGCACGGATAGATACATAGAAAGACAAATTAATATTTTATATTCGGTTTAATAGGCAAATTTTTGTTGTTTTGGGTTACTAGTGTAATTTTGTGGGTTTCTTAAGTTTTTTTTTTTTAAATAATATATAGGCCATGTAACTTGTTGCTAACGCAGCTCTTTAAAAATTTTGTAAAGTATTCGAATATATTTTATACATATTGCGAATTCGAGTTTATCATATCACATAAATAAATATATTTATTTATTAATTATTCTATATTTGTTAAACATTGTCTTGGTAATCCCTTTATAGACTCGTGTAGCATATTTCTTGTTTTTATTAAAAAAAAAAAACGTAAAAAAATAAATACGATAAAAAAATCAAATCTTTATTTTTTGTTTATAATGCATAAACTCAAAAAATACTTGACCAATTATGAAAAAAAAATTTTTTGAAAATTCGAAACCTACATTACCACCGAGTAACATAGTCTATATTTTAGTTTAGAAAAAGCCGTGTAAAACCAGCGCAGGTAACTAGTGTCGGTACTCACTGCTGGATGTCCTCCGGACGTGCTGCTGCACCACTCCGTTGACGAGGCTCTGCGTCTCCGGCGGCAGCTCGCTCATCAGCGCCGTGAACTGGTCAACAACGAGCAGTCACTCTATTCACTAGCCGCCATATACCAGAGGGAGACTTTGTACAAAAGTCGATTGCTTGGTTACCACTGTCCTATTCGTGTTTCTACCGTGAAGCAGTTGTGTTTGCATGACTGTGTTTCGGTTTGAAGGGTGGGATACGGCGTGAATTTACAGGGTACAGAGGAATAACACCTGAGTCCTCAGGAATGGCAACGCGTGGGGGGGTATCATGGGCGAAACAGTATAGTCTGTTATGTCCATGGTACTGCTCATGTCTATAGGTGAGGGTTACCACTTTCCATCAGGTGGGCCGTCAGATTGTTTGCCATTCATATATATATATATATATATATAAAATATAATTTATTTATTATTATTATTTTGTTCAAGAATTCTCTCAACTGACTCTTGGCCACAACAGAATATCAGTGTTTAGCTCTTTTGAGGGCAAAGCAATAAACTGAATTGTGACCATTTTGTGTTACTGTGGCACACTCACGAGAAATTGTGTAACCTCTTTTATGTAGTTTTTTTTTTTATGTATGTTTTGTTTTATTCCTTTTTAATGACATTTAATAATTTAATTCTATTTTAATGTTTATCAAACATATATAGCAATATACCCTGTCAGGTCGACGTTCCACGTGGTCCCCACTGGAAGCCATCGTGCTGAATTCCAGGTGTACTCGTCAAGATGGGCTAACATTCCTTTATGCCTTATTTATTTATAATTCATTGCCTTTTCATCCTCACCTATCATCCTTCACTGGTACCCCGCCAGCGTATACCGATAGCGCAGGCGGGATTACCATTCCTTTATCATTCATTAAAACCATGGAAACCGTTGTGGTTAATTTCCGGTGAATTGGTCACGATGTGAACTGATCCGAGTTCATCTTCACTTATCATCTTCGACATTAGTACCCCATCAGCGCGTGTGGATACCATCCCTCCTTAATGAGAGGAGGTATTATTAATAATAGCGACTTACGTCTCTACAGCTATCAGGTCGACCTTCACGCGGATACTCTTGGAAACTATTAGTCATTTCCTAGAATTCTCCAAGAATGAATCAACTGCCCTGACTTCAAACTAAAGTTTCAGCCTTTACTGGTGCCCCATTTGCACAGATGTATGTACCATTCTCCCCGCCTTACCGGCACAGGGTTGCAGTCGTAGAGGCAGGCGAGGGCGCGGCGCGCGGCTAGTCTTACGTCGGCCGCGCGGGGGTCGCCTGCCTGCAGCGCCACGCGAGCTAGTGCTCGCCCCGCGACGCCGGTCGCGCCACCTGTCACGTCACAAAAATCATCAGAGAAATATAAAATTTTAAATACTTTCCCCCTAGTCTAGAGGGGTTTAGCCAATAGTTGCCACGCTTGGCAGGCGGATTGGTAACCGCAATTAGGCTTTGGTGATGTTTCAAGAGGGACGCTGCTGTGTGTGGGGTGGTTTCCTCCACTTGCGGTATGGAGGAAAGGATTAAGGATTTAACGGCTGAAAGAATTATACCGCGATTAGTAAATTCCCTACCTACCGACTTGCAAAAATATCACTGTTAAAAACATAAAGTTTAAACTGAAAGCTTGTTTACCGTCCAACCTTGCTGAAACAGCAGAGTATTAATGTAAATATTGACATTTGACAACGAAATGTGAAGTACCACACACAAGCCCAAGAGGTTTAAGTGGTACTAAAAATCCAATATGTATTATTTTAAATACATTAAAATTTTTTTTTTAATGTATTTACATACATACATACATATCTGTCACGCCTGTCTCCCATTAGGGTAGGCAGAAACAATGGAACGCAAAATGCTGAAACTATTAGTAAATTTCTAGAATTCTTCAAGAATGAATCATAATCATATATATATATATATATATATATATATATGTATATATATATATATATATATATATGACACTAATATGGTGTGTTACCGTGCAAGGCGGCGGCGAGGGCGGCGGGCGTGCAGTAGTCGTGCGCGAGGTCGGCCAGGAAGCGCAGCGCCGCCGCCTTCGTCTTGCTGGTGGGCGCCGTGGCGCCGTCCGCCAGGAACCTGCAGGAACCGCCAACCGTACAGTACAACCACACATTCATTTGCATGCACACAGGCACAGTTATGAATATCATATTGTACAATGAGTCCGAGCGCTATGTTTCATCGTCGTTGGACATACAAATGTCTATTAAATTATTATTTTTTTAAAAATAATAAATAACATATGTTAATTCAATTTAATTGTAATTAATCATAAAAACTTCGACGTATTTATCAGTATTTTTTTTTTTAAATCTTTAAATTTATAAATCATGCCATGTCTATAGGTAAAAAAAAACAATATTTGTCACGTTCATTTCTGAACATATATATGTTTTGTCTCTTTTTTTTATTTTTTTTAATGGGTGATAATGAAATGGTAGCCCCACCCGTGCTATCGGTATACACCGGCGGGGCACCAGTGAAGGATGATAGGTGAGGATGAAGTAGGTCAGTTATTATTACATAAATGCCCATCGTGACAAATTCAACAAGAATTTTCACGACGGACATTTTGATCAGAGAAACCACGTGGATGTATAGGCGACGGTTACTGACAGGGCATATTGCTAGCAATAGGGCTGTCTAACAACCCCCCCCCCCTGTTCTTTTATATTAAATTCCCAATTTGACAAAAAGTGGCAAAACAATGTAATAATTAAAACAAGTTTTTCGAATTCAGTTTTCATGAATAAGGGCAAAAAGTTTGTATATATACCAGATAGTGCATCAACACCATACCTGAATATGTTGTGCAGTTGCAGCTCAGCCGGGAAGCACTCGTGAATGACGTCCAGGGTCTTCATTATCTTACTCTGTACAGAACCCAATATGTCTGTACCCAACTTCATCAGCAGTCTGTCGGCAAACGAAAGAGTTGACAATAAATAGCGATTAATAAAAAAAAAAAACCGGCTACAACTGTGTCAAAATCAATTATTTTGATTTAAAAACTAAACCACTGAATCGATTCTGATAAAATTTCTATGGAACAAATCTGTGAGTAAAGAAGAAGTAAGAGAGAAGAAGTGTGAAGATCCTACAGCCTCAATGGTCACGTACAGCGCGGTTTCAGAGATGTTTCCTCCCACGAACATTCAGGTAATGGGATGAGTTCCCTGCCGAGGTTTTCCCAAGAGCCTACAGCTTGGGGTATTTCAAAAGGGGGGTAAAGAGGTTTCTTCAGGATCGGCAACGCACGCATAATACCTCTGGTATTGCAGGTGTTCATAAGCTACGGTAACCACTTACGGTACTTAGGTGGGCCGTATGCTTGTTTGCCACCTCAGTGGTATAAAAAAAAATCCTAGGAAGCTTCAGTGCTGAGCTGGGTCGGCTGTACTAGCCACGACTCATACGCACAACGAGGAATAACACCTGAGTCCTCAGGAATGGCAACGCATGGCGGGTATCATGTGCGAAACAGTATACTCTGTTATGTCCACGGTACTGTTCATGTCTATAGGCGACGGTTACCACTTTCGATCAGGTGGGCCGTCAGCTTGTTTGTCATTCTAAGTCGTATACAAAAAAAAAAAAAAACATTACATTACATTTCTTGCATGTCGATCCAACACGCCAAAATACCACACCCATCTGTACCCTTATATACTTTCTTCAAAAAACTTTGATAGCGCGTTTCAGCTCGCCATACAGACCTAAACATGAGCTGATAGAGCCAGTCCTTCAGCTGTTGCCAGTGCACGAGCAGCAGTTCGCAGACAGCGTCCAGCAGCAGGGAGAAGACTTTGGTGTGGGCGTCTACGAACATCTTGTTGAGGAGTTCCGTTAGACGCTTGAGCTGGTCGTCCGTTAGGAGACGTCCACTGTTTAAGTAGTTAGCCTGCAAATAACAAGTGCATCATTATATTCCTGACCTTATCGCAATATAAGGTCGGCGTAATATGTTTCTATCCATACTATCCTAGATTTTGGCTTTTAGTTTCACTACAATCGTGTTTCTACCGTGAAGCAGTTGTATTTGCATGGCTGTGTTTCGGTTTGAAGGGTATGATGGAAAGGAGTCATTGGTAGTACGTAAAGGAAGTTAGTAAAAAAAAACAAGATTTTTTTTATACAACTTAGAATGGCAAACAAGCTGACGGCCCACCTGATGGAAAGTGGTAACCGTCGCCTATAGACATGAGCAGTACCATGAACATTAAAGAGTATACTGTTTCGCCCATGATACCCCCCATGCGTTGCCATTCCTGAGGGCTCAGGTGTTATTCCTCTGTATCCAGTAAATTCACTGCCCTATCCCACCCTTTAAACCGAAACACAACCATGCAAACACAATTGCTTCACGGTAGAAACACAAATGGGACAGTGGTGTCCAAGCAAACGACTTTTGTACAAAGTCTTCCTCTGGTATAATGTAATTTAGAAGTGCAATATATATATTATATATTGCACTGCTAAATTACATCATAAATATATTATATATATATATATATATATATATATATATATAGCTTGTAAAAAAGAAGCAACGAGTAGCCACGGACCAGGTGCGTGAGGCCGTCCTTGCGCTCGGTCCAATGCGTGCAGGCGCACAGCGCGATGATGTCGTCGGGCGGCGGCGGCGGCGGCGGCGAGCACTCGTAGCCCAGCCGGCTCGCCGACCCCGACCACGACACGCTCTGACGACACACAACGATCTCTTTTCAACACAACCTTTCCTGCACTGGATTACCCAAATTAAATCATTTTCTCTCTAACTACACTGGGTTGGCTGGAAGAGATCTCTCTCAGAGATAAGTCCTCCCTTGCTAACAAGTTGTTCAACTAATCGTCGCATGTATTGTTTAAGTGCAATAAAAAATATATATAATAACAATTTCCCATTCATTCTCCTTCCTTTTATTCTAAATCCTTTACTGTTCAGGCAGTTCGTCTATGGAACTCACTGCCTACCTCTATTCGGTGCGCTCAAACTCTTACTAGCTTCAAAACCTCTGTTAAATCTTACTACCTCTCACTTTAGTACTATTTTCCTGTGTTCTCTCTTCGTTTTCCTTCGTAATTTTTTTTTCTGTTGTATGTGTGCTGTTAAGTATGTGTATGTTATATATATATATATATTTGATTGTGTACATATGTATGTATGTATGTATATATGTTTGTATATGAGAATATTTATATAACAGTGCGCCACCTACCCTGTGTCTTTTTCCCAATGTCCTCTACCCAAAGGTTGTGTGGAAGAGATTGCTCAGCGATAAGGCCGCCTTTTGTATCACTTCCCATTAATATTTACTGTATTTGTTATTTCTCTTTTTACTTGAGCAATAAAGTGTAAATAATAAATTCAAAAATTAAGGAATTTTTGAATTTATTTATTACAATTATTAAATTTTTATTTATTTACACTTTATATTGCATTGTTTATAAAAAAAAAAGTCATGAATACAGTAAATTTCAATGTGAAGTGATACAAAAAGCAGCCTTTTTTATACAACTTAGAATGGCAAACAAGCTGACGGCCCACCTGATGGAAAGTGGTAACCGTCGCTTATATACATGAGCAGTACCATGGACATAACAGAGTATACTGCTGCGCCCATGATACCCCCCATGTGTTGCTATTCCTCAGGACTTAGATGTTATTCCTCTGTACCTCGTAAATTCACTGCCATATCCCACCCTTCAAACCGAAACACAGCCATGCACACAACTGCTTCACGGTTGAAACACGAATGGGACAGAGATACTCAAGCAATCGACTTTTGTACAAAGTCTCCCTCTGATAAAGTCCGGTAAATTTCTTCCCGACAACCTTTGGGTACAGGTTATTAAAAAAAAGACAAAGAATAGTTATTTACACTATATTGCATTGTTTATAAAAAAAAATCATGAATACAGTAAAAAAATACTATTATACTGTTACTTAAAAATTTTTCTTTTTTTTGCATCTTTTTAATTAATTTGAATTTGGAACACGTTTACTATTTTAAAAACTTCATTCGATTTCATACCATTTCACACACATTACAATATACTTACATCGTGCCGCCGATACGAGTCGAGACTCCTCTCCGAGCAGACGCTGGACGCCTCCGAGTCGTCGTCCCTGCCGCGGAGCCCTTCCGAGTTGTCGTCTGGACTCTGTACGCAACACACAATAATATATATTGCATAACCAATAGTCAACGAGCCAATATACACTAGTGGAAAAAATTAAGGGATCAAAAAAAATTCCAAAATTTTTGACGTTTCTCAAGTAGCTGTACTTTCCTTAAAATTTGTCGTACTGGAATTTTTAAGAAAGGGTTTCAAAGCTCAAAGTTTCTAGTTTTGAGATCTTACGATGAAAAAATTTTTCAAGCAACGTGCTCCGCTCAATCCTAATGAATACCGAAAAATCGGTTTTTTTTTTCTACGAACTTGGAAAAATTTTTTCAAACGCCGAGCACGTTTAGCGTATGCTAACGCACATCGAGCTTGGATATTAAGACAATGGGGAAATGTTTTATTTACAGACGAATTCCGATTCGCCCTTCATGGGAGCAACCGTCGCCCCCTTGTTTGGCGTCGTCGCGGAGAACGTTTTCGCCAGATTTTTGTTCGTCCGATTGTCGCTTACGGCGGTGGTTCAGTCATGGTCTGGGGCGGCGTTTCGCGAAATTGGAGAATACCTCGGCTGGTTGTGCGCGAAAACTTAACAGTTCAGCGCTATTATGACCAAATTTTGAGACCAATTGTACTGCGCAGACGGCAACATCAGAGGGCGTTTATTCTAATGCAAGATAAAGCACGCCCACACACAGCCAACATCAACAGACGCTTTTTGGAACGACATGACATTAAATTGCTGCAGCACCCACCAATGAGTCCAGATCTCAAACCGATCGAGCACGTTTGGGACATAATGGGTCGTCGTTTGCGCAGAGAGTATCCAAATTTGCAAAACTTGGCCGCATTAGAATTTGGAACACCATTCTGCAACCTCAGATTGCCCGCTGCATCAATATGGATGAACGCTTGGCAGCCGTTATTGAGAACAGGGGTGGCAATACCCATTATTGACAGAACTCCAATTTTTTTTCTTCACACACACACACACACACACACACACACACACACACACACACACACACACACACGCACACACGCACACACGCACACACACACACACACACACACACACACACACACACACACACACACACACACACACACACACACACACACACAAACACGCGCGCGCGCGCACACGCACACGCACACACAGTGACAAAGATAAGTTTTAAGGGCAAATCGTGGTAGATTCAATTGAGACTGAGCCCTGAGCATGTCTCAGTATAATTTTAAAGCAGTCTTGTTCAGAGTTTGTGGAGTTTTGCGTGGGATCTCTAGACAAAGTTCCGAGGGTGACTCTTGGTAGGTAATTAGTGGATTGGTGGATATTTGATTGTTTCCAATTGTTTTATGGTGTTAGTAGATTGAGTTCTTTTTGCGTAGTTTTATGAACGAATGAATACTGAAATAATGAAATATACGGATGGTGTGGGAGGATTTTTTTTACAATTGGATTTCCGTGTGCGTGTAAGGTATGTGTGTGTTACCCGCAGTGCCCCCTCAGCGTCCCTGGTCTGCTGCAGCAGGCGCAGCGTGGCGGCGGGCGTGCGGCCGCGCTCCAGGGATTCCCGCCGCCGCAGCCCCGCGCCGCCCGCCGCGCTGCCCGACCGCCCAGACCTGCACACGACCACAATCTTAACATACACACTTACATATCATCTTAGCCCATAATCTAATATATTAATACGTGAAGCAAAAACTTTGTAGCCCTTTTTACGTAAATTGCGCGGACGGAGGAGTATGAAATTTGGCACACTTATAGTTTATATAGAGAAGGAGTGCAAAATACTGATATTTTTTTAAAGTTATACATAACAAATACATAAAATCAATAAATAAAAAACATTACACACACTACTATTTATGTGACACAAACACACACTCATATACTCTTTTGTTTATTGTTAAAGTCTATGGTCAAATTGAGAATACATTAATATTGTTTGTCTGTTAATATTATTTGTCTATAGTCTTACTGAATGTCAAACATAACTATAATATAGTACATTACTGCAGCGGACAGCAACTGAAGCATTGATGGACGAACGTGCAAATGTGGGCTAAGGCGTAGCCGAGGCACACATACGTGAGTCCATCAATGCCTAGTTGTGGCCAGGGCTTGTATAGTACTTTTCTCAAACAATGCGCGGAAATCAAAAACACAATTTTACTTTTTAAGTTCAATGACGAATAACGAACAATAATAATTTTTTACGCACTATAATGTTCCTTTGTTTTTTTTTTTCAATAAACAGCTTTCTATTTGCAAGCCAGTTCGAAATTTAAATAAAACCTTTTTTAGTTGCCTCCTTGGTAGCCATGTTTCCAAGTAAAAGATCATTCCATTTTTAAATTACAGGACAGATATGAGTTTACATAGTAATTTATCTGGCCGCAAAACACGACAGATATGGATTTTCATACAACTTTTGCAGGCCGCTGCCCGCATGTATCTGGCCAGTACGGCAATTTTGATTTATCTCGAAGAAGATTGTCAAAATAATGCTCACATTTCCAAGCATGTTTGAGAAAAATACATTTATAATTGTCAGGCGGATTAGTAACCGCAGTTAGGCTTTAAAGATGTTTTAAGAGGGACACTGCTGCCCATTCCTTGCCCTCCCTCTTCCTATTCTATATCTTGTCCTATTCTATGCCGGGACCACACAGCAAACACGCTACCAACGCAGCCACGAAATACAGCTAGTTAATATAATATGACAGAAGGGCATATAGTAGGCATTCAATAACTTGCCTGGTGGGACTGGTCTCCCTGGAGCCAGCCAGGGAGCGCGGTATGCCCGAGGGCCGGCGACGGGCGCTGGCCAGCGACAGCGGACCACTGCTGCGGGACGAAGGGGATGACGAGCGGGACGTCGCTGCATACATATACATTAAAATATACATTCAAATTATATTAAATTATAAGACACTAGTTATGGGTAACATGGATACCAATCCGATATCTATATATTGGGTTTCTCTGCACATTGATGGCGGGAAAAAGGTCATCGGCCGTCACGATATCGCCCATATCGGTCGGATATCTTAAAAGGATTTCGAATATGTTAAAAGTCCGTTTACCAATATTATTTTTCGGATAACAGACTTTTAACATATTTGTTATTGGACCAATATATAGAATATACATAAAACATCAATTGCCCTCTACTGGATTCATTTTTATCCGACTTCAAAAAAAAAGTAATAATACCTTAGTCCTGGGAGAGAAGGGATTGTTAGCCCCATTACCAGTAATACATCCTACCAGGTCAACCTCTTCGCGGTTCCCCCTTTGAAACTATCGCATTCAATTCTAAGCAAATTCAACACGATGGACTAACAACTGACCTGTCTTTTCCTCCTCACTTATCACCCTTCACTGGTACCCCGCCAGCGTATACAGTTAGCGCAGGCGGGGTTACCATTCCATTATCATCCATTAAAAAAACCCTTAGACCTCAGGAACGGCAATGCACCAGAGGTAGAATGGACTCAGTACATATTCTATAATCTTCATACTGTCCATGTCTACAGTCACCAGTTACTTTCCAACAGATTAGTTGTCAGTTTGCTTGCCGTTATAGGTCATATAATATATATTATGGTGATGATGATGATGATGATGATGATGATGATGATGATACTACATACGCTGCGACTGCGAGACGCCGGGCCGCGACCTGGAGCGGCCGACCGTTCTCTCGGGGCTGGGCGGGACTCCGCTCGCTGCCACCGGGGACCGCTTCGCTCGCGCTACGACCCGAATTAATACATACATTAGGTACTAATATATTATAAAGACTGATTCACATACAACGATGCGCGACAATAAAAAAAATCTAAATAATATAGGGCAAGATCCCGCCAATGGTAACTGTAGAGATATAAAGAGTTTTTAACAGAACTGGGGGTCTACCATGAAATGAAATTCCGAATTTTCGGGCTCAATTTCGTGTTTTTGTTCGTACCAAAATCGACCCTATAAATGAAGCTTAACATTTCATTTGTCATAAATCCTACCATAAAAGTAAATAGGAACAATACTTTAGCATTTCGGAAAACATTTCATGGTAGGCCCTCTGGTTTATATAAAAAATGAGCGAAAATATAATACTATGCACCTATGGGTTGCTTGCTCTAAGTTAGCGCCAACTTACGAGTTTACCTTTACTTGCGACCATTAATTTATAGCTAACTTTACGTTGTCGTTTAGAAAAAACAATAAGGATTCGTTTGGTTGAATTCCTAAATCTTATCAAAAAAACATGATGTATTTATCAAATTTACCAATTTTATTTGGCTAAAATTTGCCTATTTTACACATGGCAAACCTAGATTGTGGCTAAATGAAAGTTGGCAATCCAAGTGCATTGTATAATAGTTTCACGCGTCTATCAATTAGAAGTCTTACACTTGCAGAAACAGTGCATAATGTTAAATAAAACATAGAAATTCACATTTAAATAAGATACTAAAAAGTTTTAAAAACCCACCTTATACGATTTATAATAGGAATTGTTTTGCGCAATCCGCCGAGTTCAATAGGTCTCTTGCGCCGAAAGTGTAATATTTGACAGTGACATTTATTTTTTTTTATTGTTGACATGTCTCTGAAGTTTTTAATGTATTTTTTTTTATATAACATTTCGAATTTTAATGACTTATTTAACATTTATTCTTTTTAAGTTTTAATATTTGCATACCTAATTATGGCGAAATATGAGGACTTATACTTATTGTAACATCTATACACTTACCATGTTTCTTGTAAATAAATTTACATTTACATCGACGGGTTATACAAAGTGATTCCTGTTACGATCTATGTAAAGTAAGAGTTTAAGCCCCAAGGCTATAGGCGTATTTAAGGGGTGAAGAATGGGAGGGGGGATACCCACGACAAGATAGTCTCAGACTATCTTGTCGTGGGTATTCGTGGCCTACCATGAAATATTTTCCGAAATTTCGGGGACGAACGAAATAAAAATTTAATGTTAAAATTACATAATACATGCCGCTTAAAATTATTAAAAATATTAAAATATCGTTCGTCTGGACTATTAAGATAGGATTTTTGATGAACGAAACGTTAAGCTGCATTTACTTGGTCGATTTAAGTCCGAACAAAAATACGAAATTGAGCCCGAAAATTTTGAATTTCATTTCAGGGTAGGCCCTCTGATGTCCATCTCAGAATGCGAGCGTATCTTTCAGCATAAACTACATGTCTAGGCGTGCATATGTTTTTTTTACGGTGTAGGTCAATTCTGAAATATAATCTTAAATATGCCAATGCCTTAGGCCCGATTCATATTCGACGAAGGGCAACAGAGCAGAAATAAAAAAAAAAACACGTAGTTTACAATTAAACATGTGAATGATAGGTAAAGACGCTGTGCTGATTCATTACAGGGTATAAAGTAAAAGATTTATTTATTTATTAAAACAATTTCTTTTTTTTTTAATAATAGTTTTTATGATTTTTTTAAGCATTATGATACTATCTGTTTGTGCAAAAGTTTATTCACATATAACATAATATTATGTTATTGTTTTATAAAAATCTTTGTCAACATAATGTCGAAGCAGATTCTGTTTTTCTATTTCAAATTGTTTTTAGTAATGCCTAATCTAATTGACAAAACATAGCTGCAAAATAGAAATAAAAATAAATTGCCGAATGTATGCGTAAGCGCACCAATTTAAAACTGCTACAATGCTATTTGGCATATTCTTTTTTTTTTTTTTAATATTTGTAATAATCAGGGTTAGGATATATATGAAAGTGAAATATCGTATGGAAAAAGTACACCCGTGCGAAGCCGGGTTGGGTAGCTAGTAACAAATAAATAGAGGAACGCATAACCATCTGTACATAAGCATTGCGTGAGTACATCAAGCAGAATGTGCTATAATTGGATCGTATATTATGTACCTTGCTGTGCCACTTCGCCCTCTTCGGGAATGCATACAAATTGTATTTTATTATTGCTTTTATTACATAAATATAATATATAGTTACAATATCTATATAATGACCCAATAACGGATATGTAAAATATCAGTTATCCAATATGTAACATCGGGGGGAAAGGGATTGTTAGTAACGGAGACTGAGAATCCCATTGCTAGCAATATACCCAACCAGGTCGACCTCCTCACGGTTCTCCCTGGAAACTATCATGGTTAATTCCTGATGAATTCATCATGATGCGCTAACTGGCCTGTTTTCATTCTCATCTATCACCCTTCACTGGTGCTCCGCCAGCGTATCCCGTTAGCGCAGGCGGGGTTACCATACCATTTTCACCCATCAAAAAAAAATGTAACATCGGAATTTTAACTAAATTAGAATGAATATACATATCGGATTGGTATGAGTGATATTGAAATAGATTCCTCCGTTATCATTATCTAGACTAACTCGATATATAGATATTGGAGCTATATTTCTTGAACTTAATTGCATTTACATTCAAAAAACCCAAACCAAAGGTGATCACATATTAATAAACGGATATTTAAAATATAGCTTATTTGCATTTATTTATAACCATCCACTTACATAAACTGTGTCTTCTAATAACATTATTTTTGTATTTAAAACATCATATCAATCGTTAAGTGTCCATTGCTGAACATAGACTTCCACTTGCCAAACGTGGCTAAGACTGGCAAAACCTCCGTTATAGGGTAGGCCTAGATTCAACATTAGACAACGACTAATATATAATAAAGATGATTCAATTTTTAAAAATCATTACTTTAAAGACCTTATAACAACATATACATTATTTCGATTTAGACAGGCTATTTTATTTAGCAAGGTGTAGTCAATATGTATTTCTCAAACATGCTTGGAAATGTGAGCATTATTTTGACAATCTTCTTCGAGATAAATCAAAATTGCCGTACTGATCAGATACACGCGGGCAGCGGCCGGGAAAAGTTGTATGAAGATCCATATCTGTCGTGAATGAACAATTCATTATTCGTCATTGAACTTAAAAAGTAAAATTGTGTTTTTGATTTCCGAGCATTGTTTGAGAAAAGTACTATACAAGCCTTAGCCACAACTAGGCATTGATGGACTCACGTATGTATGCCTCGGCTGCGCCTCGGCCCACATTTACACGTTCGTCTATCAATGCCTCAGTTGCTGGCCGCTGCAGTAATGTACTATTGAAGACCTGTCGTATCGCAAGTTTAACCCTTCTTTGCATGATTTTTTTATTGGTGAAATAAATCAAGGTGATAATAATTCACGTTTAAAAATGCAGAAAAATAGAAAAAAAATTAACAGCAATTTTTTTTTACGTTTATGACACGATCAACTTAAAGTGAACTTGTTCTTTTATACAATTTTTGGGCATACAAAGTTATGATGGAAATTTCCACCATTATGCAAAGAAGGGTTAACTTTTTTTGTGGTAATACGATTAAATGGTTAAAGCGGTGAGTACTCACGCAGGCTGGCGGTGCCGGCGGCCATCTTGGCGCGGCTCATGTGCGAGTAGAGGGCGCGGGCGCGCGCTCGCTGCGCGGCCGCCGCGTCCACGGCCGACACCGACCGCGCCGCGCCGCCGCCCGGCGACCGCTCTGTGTGCAACGGGCCTTATGTTTCTAACATACTTTCCAGGGGGGAAAGGGATTGTTAGCAATGGAATTTGTCAGCCCAATTACTAGCAATATCTAGCCCTATTAGGTAGACCTCCACGTGATTCCCCCTGGAAACCATCGTGAACAATTCTTGTTGAATTCGTCACGACGGGCTAACTGACCTACTTCATCCTCACCTATCATCCTTCACTGGTGCCCCACCGGTGTATACCGATAGCGCGGGTGGGGTTACCATTCCATTATCATCCATAAAAAAAACATACTTTCCACAAACGTATTCCAAACTGGGGCGGTTAATATATAGCTATATATATATAGGTCCAACAAATAATTATATTAAAACGGTTATCGGTTACATAATATCGAAACGAACTACCCGATTGTAATCTATACTTATAATAAATCTGTAGAGAGGTCAATTCTGTACATGACATATATTTCCAAAATAACTATCAGGCGGTGATCAGTGATCGATACTGATGCCAAAAATGCAATCAGTAACATTTTTGTCTGTCTGTCTGTATGTTCGTTATAGAAACAAAAACTACTCGACGGATTTTAACGAAACTTGGTACAATTATTCTTCATACTCCCGGGCAGGTTATAATATACTTTTCATCACGCTACGATCAATAGGAGCAGAGCAGTGAAGGGAAATGTTGGAAAAATGGGTGAATTTACTCCATTTTTAAGCATCCGTCGCGTGGCCACTTTTCAAAATGTAAAAATGTCCACCCGTGCGACGCCGGGACGGGCCGCTAGTGTATACATATTTATTCGATCTTTTTATCATCAATATCCGGAGGAAACTTATATATAGATATCGCAGCAGTACCAGTATTGTCCATGCCTATTCCTAACTCCACCAAGTGTTAGACGAAATAGGATTGTTAGTAACGGGGTATAACAACCATCTGTTTGTTACCTTTTCACAGAAATATTATTGAACGAATTTAATTAATGAATACGTTTTTTTTTTAATGGGTGAAAATGGATTGGTAACCCCGCCCGCGCTGTCGGTATACACCGACGAGGCACCAGTGGAAGATGATAGGTGAGATTGAGTGCAAGTCAGTTGGCCCCCCATGATGAATTCAACAAGAATTAAATATGATGGTTTCCAGGGGGAACCGCGTGGAGATCAATCTGAGATGGTATATTGCCAGTAATGGGGGTATTAGACCCCATTACTAACAATCCCTTTCCTCCCTGATGAATAGGTTATGTTTCAAATCTATAGATATGAATGATACTTCATATATTGAAGGACGCGGGTACAGCCGCAGGATAGAGGTAGTATCAGATCAACATCTACGAGGCTCCACCTGGAAACCATCGTGGATAATTCGAATTCGTCACGGGCCAATTCACTTGCTTTCATCCTCACCTATCATCTCTTACTGGTGCCCCACCGGTGTATACCGATAGCGCAGGCTAATGTTCTGAACAAAACTGAGAATCCCATTGCTAGCAATATACCCAACCAGGTCGACCTCCTCGCGGTTCTCCCTGGAAACTATCATGGTTAATTCCTGATGAATTCATCATGATGCGCTAACTGGCCTGTTTTCATTCTCACCTATCACCCTTCACTGGTGCTCTGCCAGCGTATCCCGTTAGCGCAGGCGGGGTTACCATACCATTTTCACCCATCAAAAAAAAAAAAACATCACTATATATATATTATAGTGTATTTAAAATATGCGTCAACGACGTCAAAGTTTAAAATTAAGAAAAATATACTTTCATAATACACTTGCAGGTATACCTTTTACCTTTTACACCTAAGACTTATCTATAATATTAAATGTACAAACCTTCTATATTAATATTCATAATTACCAAATCGTAAGTTAGTGTAAGTATGATATGTTATATACTCACGGCGCCATCTATGATAAACATTGTTTACTTATTAAGTTTATATCTGATACAAGCTTGATCACAACATCAACCGTACAGCCCGACCCGTGACGACAACGTCGCGGTTTCTTAGTATTAGATGTTTTGTTGTTAGAATGTTTTTTAGAAGTGTGATAAATTAGTGTAAGCATATATTTTTTTTTTATTAAAAATGTAAATTTATTAAGTTACATCCTTAGTTCTCAATCTCACAGCTCCATCTGTGATATACGACATGTAAAATATCCGTTTGCATTGTTCAATAAGTTAAAGTCAATGTAAGTACGATAAGTTTGAATTAGTGTAAGTATTATAAGTATGAATTCGTGTATTTATTATAAGTTTAAATTAGTGTAAGTATGATAAATTTGAGTTGGTGTAAGTACGATAAGTTTGAATTAGTGTAAGTATTATAAGTATGAATTCGTGTATTTATTATAAAGTTTAAATTAGTGTAAGTATTATAAGTATGATATGTTTGAATTGGTGTAAGTATGGTAAGTTTGAATTGGTGTATTATAAGTTCGAAGTAGTGTAAGTATTATAAGTTTGCATTAGTGTAAGTTTGAATAGGTATAAGTATGATAAGTGTAAGTTAGCGTAAGTAACGATAAGTCTGAATAATGAACCTCTCATAGCAACGGGAATGTGCGAAATCGGTGGTCGCTCCTGCGACGCGCGACGCCGCCGCAACGAATTAGTGCGACTCACGCCCGACACTAAGTTCTCGGTAGATGCTTCAGAAAGTAAAGTTAGCGTAAGCGTGACAAATGTGTGATTCAAACCGTTTTATCCGGATGCGGCATGGAAAGGAATAGAAATAATTTACTTAAATATTTTCCTTCGTTATTTATAAAAAAAAAAAATGTAACTTTAAAGACTATTACTAAGACGAAAACATACTAATAATTCCTTCAATAAAAAAAAAAAAAACAAATACAAATTGATGACAAAATGATCTGATGAGATGAAATTTTTTAATAGTTCTAATATATTTTTTTTATACAACTTAGGTTTATTAATCAACATAAAGTGGATTAAAATAAGAAATACGAGTCAATTATTAAACATGGACACATTTAATATATTTTTCGATCATATTATATTATAATTTACATCCCACAGCTGGGTACGAGCTCTCTTCATACAAGAACACTTTTTGAATAAACCATAGATGAAATTCAATATATACAATATAAAAAATTAACATCTTAATTACCTGACACACTGGCTGATGGACTGCGCGGACTGGTGATGGCTCTTCTCTCTGAAAAAAAAAAAAAAAAAGATTTAGCATTGTGAACAATAATGTGAGTCATAGTGAAATTTAAAAATGGAATTTAATAACTATTTTTTTTTTATACAACTTAGAATGGCAAACAAGCTGACGGCCCACCTGATGGAAAGTGGTAACCGTCGCCTATAGACATGAGCAGTACCGTGGACATAACAGAGGATACTGTTTCGCCCATGATACCCCCCATGCGTTGCCATTCCTGAGGACTCAGGTGTTATTCCTCTGTACCCTGTAAATTCACGCCATATCCCACCCTTCAAACCGAAACGCAGCCATGCAAACACAACTGCTTCACGGTTGAAACAAGAATGGGACAGAGGTACCCAAGCAATCGACTTTTGTACAAAGTCTCCCTCTGGTGAGTATATCCTCCGTATATCCATAGCACAGGCGGGGTTACCATTTCATTATCATCAATTGTCAATATAGTAACAATAGCCTAAGATGCTTTGAATGAAAGGATACCATGCTTATTGATGGTGTATTCATGGGATATTAGGTAAGAAACAGCAATATATGGTACATTAAAAATGGAATTTAGAGCCAACATAAGTAATTACAATTTAGCATTCATACTAAAGATTTCGGAATAGATGGAATGCATAATATATACATATTGTGTTACTCTTTGTATTTAGGACATTGCCAATGCGTTACAGTGGGGTAGACATAAAAACGTATCTGCCTATGGACTAGTCCGTAGAAGTCAAATGCATCAAGTTATGTCACTCGGTTTTATTGGCCGTATAACCCTACCAAATTCAATACAACCTGCTCGCATACTTTCTACATAAACTGTGTCAAATATATAATCTAGTAATGTAAAATTTGTTATTGACAAATATATTTGACATATCAATATGAACAAACATTTTACTTTTTATTTTTGTTTTTCTTTGTACAGACATTCCAGCTCTACAGTTTTATTATATGTATAGACAATGCATAATGTTAATACAGGCATTAATTTCAAGTTTTTAAATACCAAACGTGCCCTCACCGGTGCCAACATGGTGCAGACTGTCCACACTACCGATGTTCCTCTCCCTCTCTATCTGCTTCTGTGCGGCCACGTCAAGCCGCTGGAACAGCTGTTCCGCGTCCTCGGGGAAGTGGCGCTTGTACGCCCAGTACGCTCTGGCGGAATATGGGAGTCGGGTATAAAGTCAGCAAAGTAACATGACAACATTATTAGCCTTTTAGATTAAATAAAAAAAAAATACTGTGGTTCGAATAAAAAAAAAAGTATTAAAAAAACTATAGTATTATATGACCGGTGGCAATATGCCTTGTTGTATATTGCTTTAACATGACAGGTAAATAAATAAAGGGACAGTCTAAATGGTTCTTAATAATCTTTATAGATATGGTTATAGTCGTTTATACAGTGGCAACACTAACTTCCTGGCGCACGTCCTGGCCGTGGGGTCCGCGTCCACGCACGCTCGGCGGATGGCGTCCCGCACCACGGCCTGCTGCTTCTCGATGGTGGACGACGACCACTTCTCCAATAGCAGCACGAGCACCTCGCTGGTAACAACATTATAATATATATAGAGAACTGGCTGTATACTGCAGTTTCAATTATTCCTTTGTTTAAATTTTCTATTGGAATAAACTATAAAACACAATGCAAGTTAGAATGGACTGCCGTTTCCTTACACGACAAATTGTGTAACCTCTTTTATGTACGTATGTGTATGAAAGCGATGCAAATAAATTATCTATCTATTTATCCTGTAGATGTCGTATGAGGCGCCTAGGGGAACTTAATAGCCGAGAAATGGGTAGCAGTGCCTCTCCTAAAACATCACCAAACTACCAAGTATAATTGTGGTTGTCAGGGGGGAGAAGGGATTATTAGTAATGGAGATTGGCAACCCCATTGCTAGCAATATACTATATTAAGTCGACCTCTTCACGATTTCGTCTAGAGACCATCGTGATTGATTTGTTACAATGTGCCAACTGACCTCCTATCATCCCTCACTGATACTCCGCCAGCGTATACCGATAACGCAGGCGGGGTTACCATTCCATTATCACCAATCAAAACCTGCGGTTGTCGTGGCAACTGCTGGCTAGACTCCCTTACGGGGCAGGCGTATGTCGATGAGTGGTGAGTTAATGCTGTGGTAGGCTGCTACGCTACAGTTACCTGAGCGTGGAGCGTATCTCCTTGGACTTGTGCGTGGTGAGGTTGGAGGCGAGCGCGGGCAGCAGGCGCGGCGAGTGCACGTACGACACGATGTAGCGCACGCACACCGTGCCCGCCGACGACACCACCTGCGCACGCGCACACACACTCCTCAATATTACATCGTACATTATACGCATAGGGCATCGACCAACAAAAGCGGGCCAAATTTTTGTCAGCTAACTGTCAAATTGGCTAAATCGTTTTTTTTTTATCAGTGTTCTATATACTTACGCACACAATGTATCTTGACGTGTCTATATTTAATTATTTAATAAATAAACAAAATTTTTTGCACATTAAAAAGATGCAGAATTTATAAGACAAAATAAATATAGAAGTTATAAAGGAATCACTCGTAACTATTTATAACGCAATATTGTATGAAAAAGTTAACCCACTGTTTCCGAAGCATTTGTATGGAGACACTCTATATAATATATATAATCTAAAAATTAGATATACACCGCCGTGTAGTCCCGGCATAGAATTAGCTATTAACAACCCCCCCCTAAGGGGGAGGCTATGTTCAACACACGTTGTATGGATCGTACAATTTCAAATATATTGCGCAGCGTCTAAACTAAGAATCGTCAACTATATAGCTGTGCATTTCCGGCGGGGAAATAATCTGCCATCTGATTCAGAACATTCATCTGAATCTGCTGTTTTCATTTTGGCCAACCTGTTCCTCCACCCTGTATATATATATATATATATATATATATTTCAAGTATAGACAATAATATTTAATTAAAAAATATTTAAATTTAATAGCAAACTAATTAAAATTTATAAATGAAATAATTAAACAAAAATATAATAAAACTCACTTTGGCGGCGTTTTGTATCAAGTTTATGAGCTCCTGCAGTATATACAGACTGAACTGTTCCAGTTTGTTCTTCAGAACCTTGGCCATGTGAGCTATGGTGATGCACGCCTCGCGGACAACCTGCAACCGATGTAACAGAGCAATGTTAATACAATCAATCATTTATTGCCAGAATACATATTATATAAAGGCATTTATATAAGATTGTCGTGTGATCCCGGTATAGATTTTTTTTATACAACTTAGAATGGCAAACAAGCTGACGGCCCACCTGATGGAAAGTGGTAACCGTCGCCTATAGACATGAGCAGTACCATGGACATAACAGAGTATACTGTTTCGCCCATGATACCTCCCATGCGTTGCCATTCCTGAGGACTCAGGTGTTATTCCTCTGTACCCAGTAAATTCACGCCATGAATGGTCCACCCATTCCTTTTCCGCAGGTGTCGTAAGAGGGGACTAAGGTAACTTAGTGGTCGAGCGATGGGCAGCAGCGTCCCTTATTAAAACATCTTCAAGGCCTAACTGCAGATGCCAGCTCGCCTGCCAAGCGTGACAACTACTGGCAACCAACATTATATAGGAAATTTGTTCTGCCTTCGATGAGAAGGGGGAAGGGATTAGTAATGAGGTCTGAAAGCCCAATATATCATATCTGATCGTGATAGAATTGTCAATTCATAGCAGGCTAGTGTATAGAAAATGTTATACGGCTGTATAACCCTACCAAATTCAGATACAACCTGCTCGCATACTTTCTACATAAACTGTGTCCAATATATAATCTAGTAATGTAACATTTGTCATTGACAAATATATGACATATCAAACATTTTCTATACACTAGCCTGCTATGAATTGAGAAAAATAGCAACTGATGGTGTATCTTTCGTCCTCTTTTTACTAATTATATTTGCATAACAAGAAAGGAGGCAACCATATGATTTATAGTTTTTATTTTATCATTCCTTCTATGTAATTCCTTATTATTATATAATAAAACACCGACCTGACTGCGGAGGTCCTTGATGACGACGAGGAACGGCACGGACAGGTCCTTGAGGTGCGCCGCGAACTCTGTCGGGTACTGCACGTGCGCGTTCGCCGTCAGCAACGACCGTATCTTCTTCAACTGAAACGTGAAGGTTCAGTTTTAAACAAATGCTGTGAATACCTTTAAATCTGTAGAGAGGTCAATTCTGTACACGAAATATATTTCCAAAATAACTATCAGGCGGTTATTAGTGATCGATGCTGATGCCAAAAATGCAATCAGTAAAATTTTTGTCTGTCTGTCTGTATGTTCGTTACAGAAACAAAAACTACTCGACGGATTTTAACGAAACTTGGTACAATTATTCTTCATAATTCATTAATCATAATTCAAAAGTAAAAAAAGTTTTGTTAGTAATGCGGATTATCAGTCCCATTGCTAATAATATACCCTATCAGGTCGACCTCCTCGCGGTTCTCCCTGGAAATTATCACGGTTAATTCCTGATGAATTCATCATGACGGGCCAACTGTCCTTTTCATTCTCACCTATCACCCTTCACTGGTGCACCGCCAGCGTATCCCGTTAGCGCAGGCGGGCGTTACCATACCATTTTCACGCATCAAAAAAAAAAAAAAAAACCCTCTAGTGCCATATCTCACTCACCACATCTCCGAAGGACAATCGGACGCCTACAGACTTTGTCAATAGACTAGTGCAGTCTCTAAAATTGTTTTTTTTATTTTACAATCTCTTTCATTCATCATCATCTTCCTATCCTTATCCATTTTTTTTTATACAACTTAGAATGGCAAACAAGCTGACGGCCCGCCTGATGGAAAGTGGTAACCGTCGCCTATACACACGAGCAGCACCATGAACATAACAGAGCACACCGTTTCGCCCATGACACCCCCCATGCGTTGCCATTCCTGAGGACTCAGATGTTATTCCTCTGTACCCTGTAAATTCACGCCATTTTCACGGATCAATAAAAAGAACAAATGAGACCGACCGCGTCGACGCGCTTCTCCCAGTGCGCGGCGCGGTCGCCGAGCAGCGCGGCGGCCAGCCGGCACAGGTCGTCGAGGCCGCGCGCGCCGTACACCGCGGCCGGCGCGCTGCCCGCGAACGCCGCCTCGAACGCCTCGCACGACACCGCGCCCGCCTCGCCGCCGCCGCCGCCACCGCCCACGCCGCCGCCCACGCCCCACCCGCCGCTCGACACTGCCGCCGCAAACAGGTACATACAAATTCAAATTCAAATTCAAAAATCATTTATTCATGTAGGACATTTTAGCCGCTTATGAACGTCAAATTTTTACATTATAATTTTATATTTACCCTACCGTCCAGTTCGGTATATAGATCCAATTGAGAAGAACTGGCAAGAAACTCAATTGAATTACTTTTTTTTTTAAAGCCAGTTTATTTACAATGTATATTTATATAGGTGTCTATGTCTAACATTAAATACATACATACACAGATACACACTCTTTATTGTTTCCTCCAAAACATTACAATAGTAAACTTATTATAAATATATACAATTACATGAAAAAACAATGTGCGGCCTTATCGCTAAGAGCGATCTCAACCTTTGGATGGAGAGGAGTAATAAGCAGGTATTAATTCACCAGAGGGAGACTTTGTACAATAATCGTTTGCTTGGGTACCTCTGTCCCATTCGTGTTTCTACCGTGAAGTACTTATGTTTGCATGGCTGTGTTTCGGTTTGAAGGGTGAATTTACTGTCCATAGTACTGCTCATGTCTATAGGCGACGTTTACCACTTTCCATCAGGTGGGCCGTCAGCTTGTTTGCAATTCTAAGTTGTATATAAAAAAAGGTGGGTCGTTAGCTTTTTTGCTATTCTAATTTACATAAAAAAATATACATCCCACTGCTTATAACGGCAACATCAAATAATAACTAGAAGAAAAGGGATTATTAGCAATGGAGTTTGACAGCCCCATTGCTAGCAATATCGGTCGACCTCCACGTGGTTCCCCCTGGAAACCATCGTGAACAATTCTTGTTGAATTCGTCACGATGGGCTAATTGACCTGCTTCATCCTCATCTATCATCTTCCACTGGTGTCCCGCCGGTGTATACCCGATAACGCGGGTTACTACTTTATTATCACCTATAAAAAAAACTGCGGTTGCCAACCCGCCTGCTAAGCGTGGCAACTACTGTGAAAACCCCCCAATAAGAAGAAACCTATGTTAAACAGTAAACAATTAACAGCTGATATGGTGATGATGATGAAACCTATAAAAGTGATTAAATATACATACCACTACCAGCGCTGGTTATTTTAGCAGGCGGCGGCGGTTTCCTGTTAGCTGATGGTAGACTGTACAACCCTGGTACTGTCCTCTTTGGTGGTTCACACGCTGGTGTGGTAATTGTGTTGAAATTGCCACACAATTGGACATTTCCATAGCGGTGGTAATTTAGATATTGAGTGTGATAATTTAGTGTAAAAGTGTGGGAAATTTAATTATTTTAAAGTTACACAAGAAATTGTTAAAGAATTATTGTGTTAAGCGAGATTTTATAAAAATGATTTACGAATGAAATGTTCCATTAACAAAACGATTTGAAAATCATTATTAATGATAAGATTCGAGTAAAAAATGATTCGTGTGATTTTATAACAATATTAAGTTAAGATTAATGTATTTTAATGATATTAATCATGCCAATATTAGTTGTGAATTTTATTGTGTTTCATCACCGGAACAGTTGCAATGTTAGGCGTCACCAGAATATCCGGGTTGATTAGTCCATCATTAGTTGATGATGATCCAGCGGTGATGACGAGCATGGTGGAAAAAGAAAGTTCACGTTATATAATTGTTATGATACATATAACACTGAATTTACAAGAGTTAAAAAGTATTTTTGAAAGAACCGCGACAATAGTAACTATTATTATTTCAAAATCAATGTCATTATTTCGAAATTAATTTCATTATTTCAAAATCAATATCATTATTTTAAAATCAATGTCATTATTTCAAAATCAATGTCATTATTTCGAAATTAATTTCATTATTTTAAAATCAATGTCATTATTTCGAAATTAATTTCATTATTTCAAAATCAATGTCATTGTTTTAAAATCAATTTCATTATTTCAAAATCAATGTCATTATTTCGAAATTAATTTCATTATTTCGAAATTAATTTCATTATTTTAAAATCAATGTCATTATTTCGAAATTAATTTCATTATTTCAAAAACAATATCATTATTTTAAAAACAATATCATTATTTTAAAAACAATATCATTATTTTAAAAACAATATCATTATTTTAAAAACAATATCATTATTTTAAAATCAATGTCATTATTTCAAAATCAATGTCATTATTTCAAAATCAATGTCATTATTTCGAAATTAATTTCATTATTTCAAAATCAACATCATTATGTTAAAAATTATTATAATTACTACAATTTTTTTTTAAATGTGACCCGTAAATAAAAAGATCGTTAAAATTGTAGCGGTTCTCGTTTAATATTTTAGAACTGTTTATAATAATTGTTTATGATGTCATTTAAACTAGCTGAAGGTGTTTAAAATTAGTAAGAATTAAATGTGAGGGGATTATTAAACAACGGGGACTAGCGGCCCCATTGCTAGCTATACATCCTATCAAATCGACTTCGACTTGGTCTTGGAAACCACCGCAGTTAATTCCCGGTGTATTCGTCACGATGGAACAACTAACCTGCGTATACCGATAGCGCAGGCGGGGTTACCGTTCCATTTTCATCTTTTCAGCTGACTTCAAAAGTACCTCTGTCCCATTCGTGTTTCAACCGTGAAGCAGTTGTGTTTGCATGGCTGTGTTTCGGTTTGAAGGGTGGGATATGGCGTGAATTTACAGGGTACTGAGGAATAACACCCGAGTCCTCAGGAATGGCAACGCATGGGTGGTATCATGGGCGAAACAGTATACTCTGTTATGTCCATGGTACTGCTCATGTCTATAGGCGACGGTTACCACTTACCATCAGGTGTACCGTCAGCTTGCTTGCCATTCTAAGTTGTATAAAAAAAAACTTAAAAAAAAGTAGGTTTTTAATTTAGTTATATTTTTTTTTACGTTTGTCACCTCATAACTCCGCCATTTGTAAACCGACTTGGAAAATTCTTTTTTTTTTATCTAAATGGACATACTTACAGATCGGTATTTTATTATTGGTATCATAGAAATGTCAACAAAATCAATTCTGTAGTTTGAGTTTTTAATTCAAAATATACTTTTTTCATATATATTCCGTATTATATTATATACTAGCGGCCCGTCCCGGCGTCGCACGGGTGGACTTTAACATTTCCCTTCACTGCTCTGCTCCAATTGATCGTAGCGTGATGAAAAGTATAATATGCCACTATAACCTGCCCGGGAGTATGAAGAATAATTGTACCAAGTTTCGTTAAAATCCGTCGAGTAGTTTTTGTTTCTATAACGAACATACAGACAGACAGAGAGACAAAAATTTTACTGATTGCATTTTTGGCATCAGTATCGATCACTAATCACCGCCTGATAGTTATTTTGGAAATATATTTCATGTACAGAATTGACCTCTCTACAGATTTATTATAAGTATAAATCAATATTAGCACAATTGAATTCCGTTTTTGGTGGGACACAATTATTCGAGGGGATAATTGTTCCCAACAGTGGGATAGTAATGGGTTAAAGTATGACATGATATGTTATATGAATTAACATTAGGCGCCAGAGACATAGGTTAAGCGGATTGTGTTTTATTGGTGCTATCACTAGTCGTGTGACGGTGGCGCCCTCTGCAGTCAACAATTTTTAGGTCGCCTTCGTTACAAACTAAAATCTGTGACGTGGCTTACCAGACAGTGACGCTCATTTATCAATGATCCAATATATTTTTTTAATTTCGTAAACACACATATATTAATGGAATAACTACCAGTTTAACTTACTTAGAAAACTCGACTAGTTTCGGGATCAATTCGTGATCTTTAGTCACGAGCGATTGTGACGTGAGCACGAGCTTGACTGAGTGCATCGCTTATTACTAAGGATCACGAATTGATTGCGAAACTAGTCGAGCTGTTCCGATTTAATTACGCGTAAGTTAAACCAGTTATTATTGTATTAAAGTATCATATACCAAATATATATTTGATAATTCAGATGTTACGAAATTCCATCTTCGAACATCCAAACCGAGATTACAGTGGTATTGTACATTGGTGGGGCAACTGACCTGGTGTGGAGGCTCCGGAGGAGTCTCCGTCCCTACTCCTGGCCGAAGTGGGTATTGTCATGGTTCTCTTCGCTGATCGGGACACGAAGTCCGGCTCGTCAGCCGCTTGCGTCGCTGCAATTGTAAATAGAATAATTTATCATTATTATTTCAGCCATCACCTGTACCCTGCTGGACTTAAGTCTTCCCCATATCCCTTTCAGACCTAAGATTTTTTTTCTTTCATATTAAATATATTTTCGTGTTTTGGAGCCAAGCCATCTTGCCGGCACGCACGAGACTATTGCACCACCTAACCGCTAAAATGATTTCTTATTGGCTGCTTTAGAATCTCACTATCATGTTATTTCAGCTTCGTCTTCAATATTGTAGAACATACTTTTGTTCTATCACCAATAGTTTCCGCAGCGCACGCGACCAAACATATTTTATAGCATTTTTTTACACCTCGAGTTACGTTACTAAAGTTTTAGTAAGGATCCCTAATCCTTTCTAGCAATAAATATAGCCTATGTTACTCAGGGTGAATGTAGCTTTCTAATGGAGAAAGAATTTTTGAAATGGGCAAACTAGTTTTTGAGTTTATTCATTACAAACATACATACACACAAAAATACAAATCTTTCCTCTTTATAATATTAGTGTAGATATAGATTATAAATAAAGATAAGAATAGTAGATAGTTTATAATATTAGGGCAATAGTAAAGTTTCCAACGATTGCTGCATGTATGTTTTATTTTTATACAACTTAGAATGACAAACAAGCTGACGGCCCACCTGATGGAAAGTGGTAACCGTCGCCTATAGACATGAGCAGTACCGTGGACATAACAGAGTATACTGTTTCGCCCATGATACCCCCATGCGTCACCATTCCTGAGGACTCGGGTGTTATTCCTCTGTACCCAGTAAATTCACGCCATATCCCACCCTTCAAACCGAAACACAGCCATGCAAACACAACTGTTTCACGGTAGAAACACGAATGGGACAGAGGTGGTCACGCAAACGACTTTTGTACAAATACTCCCTATGGTATATTATTGTATTTACCGGTGGGGAGCAGAAGCCCCGCGTCCCGCGCCTCGTCAAACTTCTGTTCTAGCAGAGCGAGTTTCTGCGCCGGTATCAACTCCTTCTTCTTCAAGTCCTGTCTCAGTCTTTCGCCTGCAATGGAAAATTGTATGGTATATATATTTTAGGCATAATTAATCTATTATATTTATTTATAATAAATGTTTTTCATGAGCATTAAAGATTTTATAGAAATATGAAAGTTTGTAAGAAGTAAAACAGTTTCTTCAGTGACAGCAACGCGCGCGTAATGCCGCTGGTATTGCAGGCGTTCTTAGGCTACGGTGACCGCTTACCATCAGTCAGACCGTATGCTTGTTTACCACCTTAGTGGTATAAAAAATAAATTGATATCGATCGATCTAGTTGGATGGGCCTTTGTTACTTTATCATGCAATAACTGCTTAACAGATTTGAACGAAATTTGGTACAAGTGTAGGCTACATCCTAACTTAGCACATAGGATACTTTATGTACTAATTCACACAAGCAAAACCGCGGGAAATAGTACAGTTGTGTATTGTTCTGCCGTTGTTGCTGGCCGTGTAGTCTAGGCATAGAATAGTCCACCCCTTCCTTTCTCGTGGGTGTCGTAAGAGGCGACTAAGAAAGAGCGAGGGATGGACAGCAGCGTCCCTCTTAAAACATTACCAAAGCTTAACTGCGGTCGCCAAACTGCCTGCCAAGCGTGGCAACTACTGGTAAAACCCCCCCAAGGGGGAGGTTTATGTTCAGCAGTGGACAATTAAAGGCATAACAGATGATGATGATGATATTGTATATGACAATGATGATAAAGACATTTATTTATTTTTTAACTATAACATTTAAGTTGATTGGTACACATGTATGACTGTAACTACTAATGAACTGTCAGATTTCTCATATTGGGTTTGCTGGAAGAAATCTCTTTTAGATATAAGCTTGCCTTTGTACACTTTTATGTTTGTTTTTTTTTCTATTTCAATAACTCTTTGTGTACAATAAAGAATAAATGAATTGTTTTGCAACAGTCGGTCTGGAATGTCGGCAGGGGCCGCCCTAGACGGACGTATGTCGACCGAATAGGCGACGTGCTGAAGAAGGGCCAGATTAAAAGTACCCGTAACCGGCGAGCGTGTATGAAAAGAATGATGAATGTGGAGGAAGCGAAAGAGGTCTGTTTGAATCGTAGCATTTGGCGTTCCATTGTTTCTGCCTACCGTAATGGGAGACAGGCGTGACAGATATGTATGTATATGTATTTTGCAACAGTGTGACTCGACTAATATCTTAGAAATAAAAAAAAAAAACAAATGGTAGGTACTGATCGGTGTACTGTACTGACCGACGTGCCTGTAGACGTCGACGAAGAGCTGCAGCGCGGCGTCCCGCACGGCGCCGCTGGGGTCGGCCGCCAGCGCCGCCAGCGTCGGCACCGCCGCGCGCAGCTGCAGCTCGGCGGCGCCGTGCCTGCCGCCAGCACACGCACCCTCGTCAGCACAACATATACAGCCGCGGGGGGATTAGTAACGGGATCTAACGGTCCCATTGCGGGGGGAAAGGGATTGTTAGTGATGGAGACTGAGAATCCCATTGCTAGCAATATACCCAACCAGGTCGACCTCCTCGCGGTTCTCCATGGAAACTATCATGGTTAATTCCTGATGAATTCATCATGATGGGCCAACTGGCCTGTTTTCATTCTCAAGGGTGATAGACCCTTCACTGGTGCTCCGCCAGCGTATCCCGTTAGCGCAGACGGAATTATTATTCCATTTTCACCCATCAACAAAAAAAACTGTACTATTGCTTGTTTAATGGGTGAAAATAGAATGGTAACCCCGCCTGCGCTATCGGTATACACCGGCGGGACACTAGTGAGAATCGATAGCTGAGGATGAAAAGGCAGGTCAGTTAGCCCACCGTGACGAATTCAACGATAAATTAGTCACGATAATTTCCAGAGGGAACCGCGTGGAGGTTGACCTGATAGGGTATATTGATAGCAATGGGGACTATCCTCCCTATTACTAACAATCTCTTCCCCCCTCCCATTGCTAGTAATATACCCTATCAGGTAGACCTCCACGTGGTTTTTCCTAGAAACCATCGCATTGTATTCCAGCTGTATTCATCACGATGGGCTAACTGACCTGCCTTTTCATCCTCACCTATTACCTCTCACTGGTGCCCCGCCAGCATATATGGTACAGTTAGCGCGGACAGGGCTACCATTCCATTATTATACATTAAAATAAATTTTAAGTAAAAAAAAAAAACTTTTCTAAAACCAAGCCCGTCACGAGATTTAAGTACGCGTATTTATTTAATTTAAAAATTTCAAAAACTAAAATAAATCAAGTTGTTTAATTCACTTATTTATCTGCACAGGTAAATCTCGCGAAGGATAAGGTTTACATGCATTGTAAAGAAACACTGATAAACTTAGAGGTTTCTAATGTGATGTCGTAAATAAACACATTTTTTGCGCTTACATTGCAAACGCTGGCTGAACCCCACGAGATAAATCAAAATAATGTACTACAGTATTGTACACCTTAAAATGGTCAACAAAAAAGTCCGCGAGGGTGTATGTCTATCTCTTAAGGATAACACACATCAACTATTTTTTATCTTTTACATTTTACGGGAAAAAATGGCTTATTTGCGAAGTGATTTTAAGCAATACAGAATTAATATCTATCCAATTAAGTACCTTAAATACATTGTCCATTTAATATAGATCAGTATGGCTTTTTACAGCATGTAATTTAAATTAATATTTTCAAAGATATTACAGATTTGAAATACAGGGACATAGCGGTTGCGGTGGTACCGGCCGGGGGGTTGGCGGCGCTATTTTTTATCAGCAGTGCACCCGTGCGAAGCCAGGGCGGGTCACTGGTACTCGATAGTGCAAGATGTAGGTGCGTATGTGTATGCTCACGTGTCCAGCAGGGTCTGTATGCAGCGCAGGGCCTCCTCCCGCGCGTGCGGCGCCTTGTGCTGCAGCGCGGGCGCCAGGCGCGCCAGCAGCGCCCGCGGCGGCGCCGCCCTGCTGTCGCCCAGCGCCGCCACGCACGCGCGCGCCGTCTGCCGGACGGCCTCCTTTGTGTCCGCCAACCTGACACCACACGGACCATTAACATTGTGTTCCACAAAAGAATACCAACTTCATTTGCGACAAAAACAAGTAAGTTATTTTGATTTCTAAACTACTGAACTGATTTTGATGAAATTACTTGGAACCAATTTTTTTAAAAAATTAGTAATAAAATAAATAAAGGAATAAAAAATATAAATACAAAAGAGAGTGAGGAGCAGCCAATACAGCCCTATACAAGCAACCAACTAAATAGAAGACAGAAAAAGATACCACGCCGACATACACAGACCACTCGTGTATGTCGGCTTAAAATCAAGTGACCCAGAGGTGGTAGCCTCCGGAGTTGAAGTTGGGGTAATGGGGTACGCCCCGAGGCCCTACCTTGCCTGCCCTTTTTTGAATTTTTTTGTAACTCTCTCCAAGCATGGTGAAGATCCACAAGTTTTTTTACACAGGCACAGCTCTGGTAGGGATTCTAACTTTTTCCCAGAATATAATACACTCTCGAGGGGGGAAAGGGATTGTTAGTAATGGAGACTGAGAATCCCATTGCTAGCAATATACCCAACCAGGTCGACCTCCTCGCGGTTCCCCCTGGAAACTATCATGGTTAATTCCTGATGAATTCATCATGATGCGCTAACTGGCCTGTTTTCATTCTCACCTATCACCCTTCACTGGTGCTCCGCCAGTGTATCCCGTTAGCGCAGGCGGGGTTACCATACCATTTTCACCCATCAAAAAAAAAAAAAATACACTCTCGAACGGCAAGATTTACGCTTTCATTAACAGTCAATTTAAATTCGCGAATGTTAAAAAAGAGGACTGCAAGTACTTGATTAGACGGTAACTTTGCTCCAGTTATTTGATGGTTCACGTCACCAACTAAGAAAATACTTTTTTTATTGCTTCTTAATTCCACTGCCATTTTTTTTTTACATAAAAACAATATGTTAATCACAAGAGTTACTGTGAACAAATGGCAAATACGACGGGTGCGCGCCGCTAGTTCGGCGTTACTTCTATGAACATGTTTCGATGCAAGTCGGCATGGGTTATCATTCTCTAAATGAGATATAAAATAGTATTTTCGAGTGTTTTAGGAACATATGAACAAAACTATGACCTATGCATTAAATATTAATAACATAGAAAAATAAGGGACACCCTAATGTATATAGCATAGGCATTAGAAAGTTTCTTTTCTTTTCAATTCAATCATTTATCGCTATTTCATGTTGTAACAATATAGGTCTTAATTTATTAAAGGTAAAGGATTAACATGAACCGTGGAAGGGGCAGCGATCACATTAATAAATATTTCATAAAGTATATAACAAAATTTTTATATATATATATATATATATATATATATATATACTAGCTGACTCGGCAAACGTTGTTTTATCATATACATTATTTTTAGAACTATACATGAAAATATATCGTACTACAATTATTATATTCGATTATATAAAAATTACGATTAAAAAATAGATATGGCCGTAAAAGCGTAAAAATTTGAATTTGTATGTATTTTTCAATGCTAAAAAAATTGTTAAAAAAATAAAAAAAAATATATTTAGGGGTAGGTCACCCTTATCATTGAGGGATATGAAAAATAGATGTTGGCCGATTCTCAAACCTATCAGATATGCACACAAAATTTCATAAAAATCGGTAAAGCCGTTTCGGAGGAGTTTGGTAACAAACACCGCGACACGAGAATTTTATATATAAGCTGTATCGTCAATTAACATAAAATAAATAAAACATTATTACATTGAAACAAATAGGTACAAATACAATTAAATTTTCTCGTTGAAAAATTCCTGTAGTGTATAATAACTTTTTAAGCAATTAAATATTTCTTTATAGCTATTTTCAACTTTTTTTTTAGTTTGAGAGCGCAGTACGTTTGTGGAGGTGTAGAGATCGGCTTGATGATATTTATATATGGATTCAGAAGGAGTGAGGGAAAGAAAGATTTAGTACGAGATTGTATCATTATATTTACAGTAAATAAATCCAGATATAATAAGTCGCGATACAAAATATAATTCGGTAAAATTGCTAAGACAAGACGATTGTCAAGAACGTCACTATTTATTTTTCTGTAACCATGTAGGTTTGAAAGAGGTTGGTAGGTTGGTAAAGTAGGCTACCAACCTCTTTCAAACCTACACGTTCTAGACGTTATGTGGACACATCACGTGCCTGTTGAGTGTCAACAGTTGTAAACATACCACGTATATAAGTGTGCGCCCATCCGTCTATTGTTTCCCGTGAATCATGTACCGGGTAATTATGGCGGATAAGGGATCTGTCACTGTAAGCAGCGTAGCGAATACTTACAACTCTCTGTCCCATTCGTGTTTCAACCGTGAAGCAGTTGTGTTTGCATGGCTGTTCATTTGAAGGGTGGGATATGACGGTGAATTTACTGGGTACAGAGGAATAACACCTTAGTCTTCAGGAATGGCAACGCATGGGAAGTATCATGGGCGAAACAGTATACTCTATTATGTCCACGGTACTGCTCATGTCTATAGGCGACGGTTACCACTTTACATCAGTAACTGCCACCCAGTTCAGAACGCAAATCGGTTACAAAGGAACTTTTAAACATTTTTAACCGACTTCAAAAATAATTAATTCGGATTTTTTTCACGTTTTTTACCTCATAACTCCGTCAGTTGTAAACCATTTTCGGAAACTCTTATTTTATCATAAGAAAGGACATATTATAGTACTTACAGATTGGTTCTATAATAATTTTATCAAAATCAATTGGGTAGTTAAGTTTTAAAATAAAAATAACGGACTCTGGCCACAATTTAAGTCGTAGACACCACAAAAAAAGTCTGTTGTGGCAAAACTACTTATTACGATGTAAAAAGTAAACTACTTTTGTGGGACACAACCTTTAATTATTTTGTATTTGCGTGCGGTGGAACTTGTCCCTTATAGTAACGTGCGTATGTGGACGCGCGTCGCGGTACGTCCCTGTGACGTCACCGAGCTCAATACAACTGCACCTCAATTGTTGTAATTGTTTGTATTTATAATAAATTTATTGTAATCGTATGGATGAAATAATAAAGAGTATATATATATATATATATATATACTAGCTGACCCCGTAAACGTTGTTTTACCGCTTATTGCGAAATATAAAAATCACGATTAAAATACAGGGGTTGATCGTAAAACGATGAAAATTTAAAGTTGTGTGTATTTTTCAATGCTAAATCATAATAAAATAAAAATGGAAAAATTTGGTAAAAAAATAAAAAAATTTGATGAGGGTCACCCTTATCATTGAGGGGTATGAAAAATAGATATTGGCCGATTCTCAGACCTACCCAATATGAACACAAAATTTCATAAAATGCGGTAAAGCCGTTTCGGAGGAGTTTGGTAACAAACACCGTGACACGAGAATTTTATATATTAGATATATATATATTGTGCTAATAACAGATATATTAGTTATCGGTTATCCCAATATATGATATCGAAAAGAAAACCCGCTTGTAGTGAACATTTTTTTATATACAACTTAGAATGGCAAACAAGCTGACGGCCCACCTGATGGAAAGTGGTAACCGTCGCCTATACACATGAGAAGTACCGTGGACATAACAGAGTATACTGTTTCGCTCATGATACCCCCCATGCGTTGCCATTCCTGAGGACTCAGGTATTATTCCTCTGTACCCTGTAAATTCACGCCATATCCCACCCTTCAAACCGAAACACAGCCATGCAAACACAACTGCTTCACGGTTGAATCACGAATGGGACAGAGGTACAAAAGCAATCGACTTTTGTACAAAGTCTCCCTCTGGTATATAGATATCCGATTGGTATGGATGGTATTGTAATGGAATGGTCAGAAGATAGCGACTAAGACAACTTGATGGTCGAACACAAAGCTTAACTGCAGTCAACTGCCAATCCGCCTGCCAAGCGTAGCAACTACTAGGCGTGGCAACTACTTGCAAACCCCCCTTTATGGGTAAAACCTATGTTCAACGGTGGCCAATTTCTTACGGCCGGTGATCGGTTGTACCTTCGAATTGGGGACCGGTAGACAGCAGAGGTCGCCAGTTCGGGGGCCGACCACATACTCATTTGTTGCAGTATCCGGCCGTAGTACCTTCCTAATGCTCCTCAAATATTGCGTTTAAACTGCGCCCACCATGTACCCTCTTGTATAGGCATTCCGTCACCCGTATCCAATAGCGGGGACGGGATGCCTTAAATACTGTACCACAAACCATAAAAAAAAAACAGTGGCCAATTAACGGCTGATATGATGATGAGAGGGGGAAGGGATTGTTAATAATGCAGACTACCAGTCCCATTGTTAGCAATATACCCTGTCAGGTCGACCTCCTCGTGGCCACTCCCTAGAAATCATTGTGTTGAACTCCAGGGTTTTTTTTAATGGGTGATAATGGTATGGTAAGCCTGCGCTAACGGGATACGCTGGCGGAGCACCAGTGAGTAATGATAGATGAGAATGAAAACAGGTCAGTTAGCCCATCATGATAAATTCATCAGGAATTAACCATAATAGTTTCCAGGGGGAACCGCGAGGAGGTCGATCTGGTTGGGTATATTGCTAGCAATGGGATTCTCAATCTCCATTACTAACGATCCCTTTCTCCCCTCCAGATGTATTCATCACGATGGACTAACTGACGTGCCTTTTCATTCTCACCTATCATCCCTCACTGGCGGTTACCATTCCATTATCGTCCATTAAAAAAAGGTCCCCATCACAATCCCTCCCCTCCCACTGTTGTTTATTAATGTACGACCTTCCACTCACCTGTCGATTATGTGTGGCAGCACTGTAGGCACGTAGTGTGAGAAATCTGGGCCCATGCGGTCGGCCAGCGCCGCCAGCACCTCGAGGCCGTTTTGCGCCACCTGTAATACAATAATTTTGTGTTCTCATTTTGGCTCCAGACATTTTATAATTGATTAAGATAAAATTTCTATAAGACTAGTTACTTAGCAAAAAAAAAAAAATTTCCAGACACGAATGGGACAGCGGTACCCAAGCAGACGATTACAAAGTCTCCTTCTGGTAAATTTATCCCACATAGTATGTTTATATCAAAAATTCATATTGATTAGTTAAGGTGGTATTAAGTAGCAAACAATCAAACAAACTTGTTTTTTATATTACTATATTTTATTTGAAACTGTGGTAAACAGTGTTGGTGGCAAATTTACTCAATGTTTTCTTTGATTAATATGTATGTATGAAAAAAAAATAGTATACAAATAAGCATACGGCCCGTCTGATGGATAAACGGAGTTACCGTAGTCTATGGACGCCTATAACACTAGGATTGTTACGTGCGCGTTGTCGACCCTCTTTATTTACATTTATAATATTAATAAAGATTTTTTTTAATGGGTGATAATGGAATGGTAACCCAGCCTGCGCTGACAGTATACGCTGGCGGGGCACTAGTGAGGGATGATAGGTGAGGATGAAAAGGCAGGTCAGATAGCCCATTGTTATATTAGTAAGGATCAGCCTACCTCCAAATATCAAAGTCTTGAGGATACACCAATTTAGAGCGCTGTCGGTTAAGAGCGACTCAGGCGGCGCTCGGCGCACAACTGTATCAAACGCTAATACTAATACGAAATAAGATACGTCCCTATTCTATAAACGGTAATATTTATTTACTTTTTTTATTTATTACGGCAACGCATGGGGGGTATCATGGGCGAAACAGTATACTCTGTTATGTCCATGTTACTGCTCATGTCTATAGGCGACTGTTACCACTTCACATCAGGTGGGCCGTCAGATTGTTTGCCATTCTAAGTCGTGTGAAAAAAAAAAACTTACCTTTTATACATAAATACATACATATCTGTCACGCCTGTCTCCCATTAGGGTAGGCAGAAACAATGCAACGCCAAATGTTTCGATTCAAACAAACCTCTTTCGCTTCTTCCACATTCATCAATCTTTTCATACACGCTCGCCGGTTACGGGTACTTTACTTAATTTTTATTTAAATAACTTTAAAGATACATCAGTCGGATCTAGGAAGGACTTGGTTTTGTGCCATGTTACGAGATGAGGAGAGACTCGCTGAAAATCTTAGTGAGTGACAAAAGCTCCACCGACAAGAGAGCAGCTCTTAAATAAGATAGATAGAACTTTATTGACCAAAAGAAAATATGGTACAAAAGGCGGACTCAATGCTAGTAGCACTCTCTACCAGGCAACCTTTGGGGTGAACAGTGAATCACGACCGCGGTACTTCATTATTGGGATAGGCAATGAATATTAATATTTAAAAATTTAAAAATATAAATCTATATATATCAGTAAAATTATATATCAGTAAAATTTTTGTCTGTCTGTCAGTATGTTCGTTATAGAAACAAAACTACTCGACGGATTTTAACGAAACTTGTTACTATTATTCTTCATACTCCTGGGCAGGTTATAGTATACTTTTCATCACGCCACGATCAATAGGAGCAGAGCAGTGAAGGGAAATGTTGGGAAAACCGGTGAAGTTACTCCATTTTTAAGCTTCCGTCGCGTGTGCAGCCTTAATGGCTACTTTTTAAAATGTAAAAATGTCCACCCGTGCGAAGCCGGGACGGGCCGCTAGTTAATAATATATAAAAGAAATAAATCCAACCAATTTGGATGAATTATGAATTTCGATGAAATTACAAACACCTGCAGCCAGCTTTTATCATCGCACCACTCGTCATCGAAAAAAAGTAAAATTCTGTGAAGATCTTTGAAGTTTGTTAATCGATAAACGGCGGAACCGATTTAAATGAAACTTAGACATAGAGTACTGTTTATCTTAATTCGAAATAGCAAAGTCGTGGTTTACAGTAAGTAAATTTATACAGTATTTTAAAATAATATTTAAAATAAATTAATTTTTTGTTACTTTTTTGAGTTTTACATGCAAGTACGAGACAATACGAGTATTACACCTGTGTATACAGTAAGTAAATTTATTCAGTCTGCAATTAATGTGCAGTCTTTATATATAGGATATAATTTTGAAAGTTAAATATTTTAAAAGTCAAATAAGTCATCGCTTATACTGTCTGACTCACTGTTATTTTTGTTTACGTATTTTAGATAGATAGATAATCTTTATTACTAGGAATAATATTAAAAAAAAAAAAACAATAAAAAGAAAAAAAAAAACATTTTGCTGGTTGCTAGAGCCGCCTTAGCTGTTGCTATACTATATGTACAGCTCTAGCGAGATGTACCTACTACAGCGCTGATTTTCAGAGGGCCCCTTAACTTATATAATTACATCTTTGAAGGTAACAACAAACAGTTTTAATTGTCAATGTCACTCGACGCCAGTTTCCGTCCCGTCTCTCGTGCTCGCGTTCGCGTTCACGTTCACGTACGCGCGATCGGTGAGATCGAGTGTCGAGTTATAGAATAGGGCGGGACGCGATGAGCCGCGTCGGGCCGCCGGTAATGGTCGGGCGGAATCAGACTGTGCATGATACATGTCCGAGATCTAACTACGCACCGTGTTGCGGTACCGAGATGAACGATTATATATACAGACTGTAGTTTAATTAATTTATTTATTTATAAAACCTTATTGAACCATTTATAGAATAGTAAATACAAAACCAGAGGGAGACTTTGTACAAAAGTCGATTGCTTGACAGAGTTGTCAGAGGTACCCCTGTCCCATTCGTGTTTCAACCGTGAAGCAGTTGTGTTTGCATGGCTGTGTTTCGGTTTGAAGGGTGGGATATGGCGTGAATTTACAGGGTACAGAGGAATAACACCTGAGTCCTCAGGAATGGCAACGCATGGGGGGTATCATGGGCGAAACAGTATACTCTGTTATGTCTATGGTACTGCACATGTGTATAGGCGACGGTTACCACTTTCCATCAGGTGGGCCGTCAGCTTGTTTGCCATTCTAAGTTATATAAAAAAAAATTAACTGTAATGAGAAATTATACAAAAGGCGGCCTTATCGCTAAGCAATCTCTTCCAGACAACCTTCGGGTAGAGAACTTCGAGAAAAGAAAGAAAAACAATATATTTTTTTATTGTACCAGTTATTTATAAGAATATGACAGAGGTAATCAAATGTACAAAGGCGCGCTTAACTTTAATAGAGTTCTCTTTCAGCAACACGCAAAGTGGAAAGGAGCATCAATGTCAGCGAATACAGCGCTGTACAATATTGTGACAATTTTTAAACAAACAAACTAGACAAAATTTTATTAATTAAATTATATTTAATCGTATAAATACACATATACATATATACCTACATCTATGCATATACTAGAGTGTAGTTTATTTATTTATTTAATTTAAATAGTTTTACTGATCAAACAAAACTATGGTACATAATTAACGTTTACCATCAGACGGGCTGTATGCTTGCCTTGCTTTATGCCACCTTTGTGGTATAAAAAAAATTAAGATAGTTTCACAAAGAAAACCGACTTCAATTGTGGTAAAACCAGTTTTGTCTTAAAAACTACATTACGGAAACGAATGGAGTAACTTCTCCCATTTTCCCAACATTTTCCTTCACTGCTCTGCTCCTTTTGATCGTAGCGTGATGAAAAGTATACTATAACCTGCCCAGGAGTATGAAGAATAATTGTACCAAGTTTCGTTATAATCCGTCGAGTAGTTTTTGTTTCTATAACGAACATACAGACAGACAGACAAAAATTTTACTGATTGCATTTTTGGCATCAGCATCGATCACTGATCACCGCCTGATAGTTATTTTGGAAATATATTTCATGTACAGAATTGACCTCTCTACAGATTTATTATAAGTATAGATATATGTTTGTAATTTAATGTGTACAATAAAAAATGGTGCCGGAGAAGGATGGAAAAAAATTGCTGGAGGGATCGAATTAGCAATGAGGAGGTCCTGCTTAAGGTTAAGGAAAAAAGACAAATTATTAGAACTATTGAGGACAGAAGGGGAGAAATGTTGGGACACTTGATACGACACGACGAACTTATGAACATTATAATAGAAGGTAAGATAGAAGGAAGGAGGGGGAGAGGGAGACCGAGACATAGTTACATCAGGCAGATCAAGGAAGGAGTTGGTGTCGTGTCGTATCAAGAGGTGAAGAGGCTCGCTGAAAATCGTAGTGAGTGGCAAGAGCTCCACCGACAAGAGCGCAGCTCTTAAATGGATAGATAGATAGAATAAATAAATAAATAAATATACTCTGGACGCTCACCTTAAAGTTCCCGCCATTGAGCCAGGCGACGAGCGCGTCGAGCAGCTGCGCGGCCAGCTCCTGCGTGATCTCCGGCTCGCGGCGGACGAGCGCGACCAGCTGCTCGCCCAGCTGCTGTCGCAGGCGGAGGTCCGGCCGGCTGAGCAGCGGCAGCGCCGCCTCCAGCGACGCAGGTTGCGGGTAATGCGCCATCTGAACGGGGGGAGGAGAGAGGGGATGAATATTAGTAATGCGCCCTGCCAGTCCCATTGTGGGGGAAAGGAATTGTTAGCAATGGAGACTGAGAATCCCATTGCTAGCAATATACCCAACCAGGTTAACCTCCTCGCGGTTTCCCCTGGAAGCTATCATGGTAAATTCCTGATGAATTCATCATGATGGGCTAACTGGCCTGTTTTCATTCTCATCTATCACCCTTCACTGGTGCTCCGCCAGCGTATCCCGTTAGCGCAGGCGGGGTTACCATACCATTTTCACCCATCAAAAAATAAAACAGCTCCATTACTAGCAATTTTCCCTATCAGCTTGATCTCCACGCGGTTCCTCCTGGAAACCATCGTGGTTGCCATGAAATTCTTCAAGATGGACTAAAGGACCTGCTTTCATCCTCAGCTATCATCCCTCACTGGTACCCCGCCAGCGTATACCGATAGCGCAAGCGGGGTTACCATTTTATTATCACGCATTAAACTAAAAATAAAAAATAGTCTCATTGTTGGTAATATAACCCTGTCAGGTCTACCTTCACTTAGTTCCATGGCATGGGGACGGGGTTACCATTCAGTCAAGGGGGAAAAGGATTATTAGTAATGCGGATTATCAGTCCCATTGCTAGCAATATACCCCTATGAGGTCCACCTCCACGTGGTTCCCCCTGGAAACCAACGTGTAAAATTCCAGGTGTACTCATCACGATGAGCTCACTGACCTACCGTTTCATCCTCACCTATCACACTTCACTGGTGCCCCGCCAGCGTATACCAATAGCGCAGGTGGGGTTTTTTTTAATGGGTGATAATGAAATGGTAACCCCGCCTGCGCTATCGGGATACGCTGGAGGGGCACCAGTGAAAGATGATAGGTGAGGATGAAGCAGGTCAGTTGGCTCATCGTGACGAATTCAACAAGAATTGTTCACAATGGTTTCCAGGGGGAACCACGTGGAGGTCGACCTAATAGGGCATATTGCTAGCAATGGGGCTGTCAAACTCCATTGCTAACAATCGCTTTCCCCCCGCGCAGGTGGGGTTACCATTCCATTGAAGAAAAAACCAACCAATCAATCTCATTACATGAAAACAGCATTACAACATTACATACTGTCATATATAATACAGGATGTGATCTCTTAAGGACAAGACAACTCTAGGTCACTATAATGATAAACAATAAAGCTGCATACATACTATCGGCAGAGTACGTAAACAGTCGCCGCTGAACAGCGTTTTTCGACTGTCACTCTCTCAACTTAATGAAATCTAAATTCGAATTTATTCTTACTATTAGGACCTCGTAGATTGCAGAGATTCGTGCTGAAAATCAGCACTGTAGCGTCCCTGACACTACAGCGACATACTGAGCCTTAATTTTACAAATATTGCAACATACATTTATTCTTGCTGTAACTGCTATAATATGCATATCTTTTTGCTTAGTATTTAGTTAATTTTGTAATTTTTTTATTATTAATTAAGTTTAAGTAATTTTTTAAAATAATTTTTTAACCCCTATGTGGATATTGTCGTATTTTTTCTAATGAAGAACATCCAACAAGCCAAATTGATTTTCAACATCCGATCTACCCTAGTCTTTCTTATAACATCTAACTGCGGTTGCCAACCTGCCTGCCAAGCAAGGCTACTACTAGCAAATCTCCCCCTATAGGGGGAGACCTATATTCAGCGGTGGACAGTGACAGGCTGATATGATGATCCAATCTACGATTGTCCAACAACTACCGACTAGCTGTTCGCACAGATGAATGCAAATGTACTGATTCAAATAAGTACGCGTATAAAAGTATTTCTATAGCTTTAAACCTTATAAACAAACAATACTATAGGACGCGCCCATTAACCGCGACTGATGGATGAGACTGAAGAGTGTGCACGATGTTCGGCTATCTTTCTCTCCTTAGTCGAGTGCATGTTTGTGTGTGCAAAATATCCAGCGTGCCAAATCATCATCGGTTATCCAACAATCTAAGTCTAGCTAGTACAGACAATCCTTTAAATATAATAAATTGAAAAATTTTGAAACAATGTATGTGATGTTTGTGACTCACGCAAAAACTGCTTAACAGATTTGAATGAAATTTGGTACAAGGGTAGGTTATATCCTAACTTAGCACATAGGATACTTTACGTACCGATTCACGCGGACAGAATCATGGTATACAGTTAGTTTTACACAAACATATCGTCTAAATCAGTCAAACATCAGTTAGTCAGCCGCGGCTGATTGTTGCGTCCGATCCGACAGTGTGTTTGCAGCTTTAGTGACCATTATTATTGGTGACCTAGAGTTATACGGATCGACGGTGTATTTGCAGCTTAAATTGATAATAGGGACTCACCGTTTACTGTGGTGTCCTTGCGAGTCTCAAATAATAACACTTCGTCCCGAAATGAGTCCAGTCCCATGCACCGGTCATCGCACACGCCCCGACCACTGTACTGTTACACGCTACACTACACAGACATACACTGTCACATGTTTATATTAACGCACGTTTGTCCACTGTTGGAAGGGAAATTCATCAAAAATGGAAATATACGATTTTTTTACTAACTACTATTTAACCTAACTGTTATTGTTAATAATGGAGACTAAGAGCACCATTGCTAGCAATATACCCAACCAGGTTGACCTCCACGCGGTCCACCTTTGAAACCAGGGGGGAAAAGGGATTGTTAGTAATGGAGACTGAGAATCCCATTGCCAGCAATATATCCAACCAGGTCGATCTCCACGCGGTACTACCTGGAAACTATCATGGTTAATTCCTGATGATTTCAGAATTCATCATGATGTGCTAACTGGCCTGTTTTCATTCTCATCTATCACCCTTCACTGGTGCTCCGCCAGCGTATCCCCTTAGCGCAGGCGGGGTTACCATACCATTTTCACCCATTAAAAAAAACCTAGAAACCATCGTGTTAAATTCCAAGCGTATTTATCACAATTGGCTACCTGACCTGTCTTTCCATCGTCACCTATCATCCCTCATTGGTGCCCCGCCAGCGTATACCGATAACGCAGGCGGGGCTACCATACCATTACCACCAAAAAAACAAATATTACTATTGTTGTAAATATTAAATGAATGTAACATGTTTGTTACTCTTTTACGCAAAAACTACTGAACGGATTCGAATCAAAATTGGTACACGGATGGGTTATATTCTAACCAAACACACACACATAAACCGGTGGTCGGTTGTATCTAAAAATAGTTTTAAAGTGTACAAAAACCATCAGAGAGCACTTGTAAGAATGACCAGCTAGTGGTAGCATTAATCTTGTTTTAAGTACATACATTTAAGATAGGAATTTATTACTATATCATATATAACACGTACTATTTTATTTAGACCATGGACAGAGGACTCTGTACAAAAGTCGATTGCTTGGGTACCCCTGTCCCATTCGTGTTTCAACCGTGAAGCAGTTGTGTTTGCATGGCTGTGTTTCGGTTTGAAGGGTGGGATATGGCGTGAATTTACTGGGTACAGAGGAATAACACCTGAGTGCTCAGGAATGGCAACGCATGGGGGGTATCATGGACGAAACAGTGTACTCTGCTATGTCCATAGTACTGCTCATGTCTATAGGCGACGGTTACCACTTTCCATCAGGTGGGCCGTCAGCATGTTTGCCATTCTAAGTTGTATAAAAAAAAATATCTTCGGAATACTTTTTTTTAATGGATGATAATGAAATTGTAACCCCGGGGTGATGGGTGAGGATGCAATCAAGTCAGTCCGGGGGGAATGGATTGTTAGTAATGGGGAGGTTAATCGTCATTGCTATCAACCCTATCAGGTCGACCTCCACGCGGTTCCCTCTGGAAACAATCGTGACTAATTTATCGTTGAATTCGTCACGATGGGCTAACTGACCTGCCTTTTCATTCTCACCAATCATCCCTCACTGATGCCCCGCCAGTGTCCACCGATAGCGCAGGTGGGGTCACCATTCCATTATCACCCATTAAAAAAAAAAAAAAACATCGTCAAGTCTGAACCAATTGTTACAGTTCTTTTTGCTGGATTTACTCGCGTATTGATCCCTTTTCGATTCTTACGACAATAGAATTCTTACGACAATAGACACTTTTTGTAAGAGACTAGCTTTTATTTGCGACTCCGTCCGCGTGATGTAAAATGTATTCGTCTGGTAGGAGGTAAATTATTGGTCGGCCGGGATTACTCAGTGATGTTATTGGCTGTGTCAAGGCCTATTTGATTTATATGCAACGTCAATACGCTCCTATGAGTCACTGATATACACTTTCCTATCCAATGTATCCAAATGTTTACACTATGAAAGTGGCATGCATTATACAGTGCTACCAATATGTGAATGATGTATGATAATTAGAATTCCTACAGGAATAAATTGCTGAAGCACTTTGTACAACAATCTAATAAAAATTAACTCTAATTATCATAATATATGTTATATATAAAATTCTCGTGTCGCGGTGTTTGTTACCAAACTCCTCTGAAACGGCTTCACCAATTTTCATGAAATTTTGTGTCCATATTGGGTAGGACTGAGAATCGGCCAACATCTATTTTTCATACCCCTCAATGATAAGGGTGACCCTCCCCAAAAATTTTTTTTTTATTTTTTTGACAAATTTTTCCATTTTTATTTTATTATGATTTAGCATTGAAAAATACATACAAATTCAAATTTTCACCGTTTTACGATCAACTCCTGTTTTTTAATCGCGATTTTTATATGTTGCAATAGGCTTGCAAGATGGCAATCCAATATAATAATTGTAGTAGGATACATTTTCATTTATAGTTCTAAAAATAATGTATATGGTAAAACAACGTTTGCCGAGTCGGCTAGTATATATATATTTTTTAATTCAATTCACTCATAATCTGATTCTTTAATTTCCTGATATTGCTCACAACTTGGGTTACATGTTTGTTTTATTATTTACTTCATTGTCTCGCACTGTACAACTATGTTAAAGTGAATGCTGTGAATACCTATAATAGGCGTGTGCATTAATATTGTATTATATTTAATGTTTGTTATACCTATATGTTATAATGCAATATGCTGTTGGTGTTCCTTAAATAAATAAATATATTATAAAATATGCAACTAAATGGGTTGCCACGTTTTTATAGTGCATCCACAATGTTTGCAGCGGCATGGACAGATGACTTCTACGCCATTAGACGCAAACGGATCGCGTCTCTGTTACACCGACTGCGTGGCAGCAGTGACAGCATTCTGTGGGCATTGTGTAATAAATACGATAGCCCGATCATCTCATTGTGGGTCAACATTTTTTTTTTATACAACTTAGAATGGCAAACAAGCTGACGGCCCACCTGATGTAAAGTGGTAACCGTCGCTTATAGACATGAGCAATACCATGGACATAACAGAGTATACTGTTTCGCCCATGATACCCCCCATGTGTTGCCATTCCTGAGGACTTAGGTGTTATTCCTCTGTACCCAGTAAATTCACGCCATATCCATGCAAACACAACTGCTTCACGGTAGAAACACGAATGGGATAGAGGTACCCAAGCAATCGAAAATTGCAAATAAACAAATTCACTTTAAAAATCTATATAAGTATATAGTATTTAATATAATATAATATAAGCATATAATATATCTATATAAATTGAAACTCTTTCGGTTTAACCGTAGTCATACAAAAAGAAGCAAGTCAAATAGATTACCTCTTTCTCCCAAGTCGGTCCAAAGACCTCCAAATAATCTGATAAGGAGGCAAGGCCGTGTCGATAATATTATTAAACTATATCTACCGACTGATTATGTAAAAGTAGTGTTTATTGCCATTAACATTATCGGAAACACATGATAGATGTACAATATATATATATATATATATATATATATATATATAATTATATATATATATATATATATATATATAATTATTATTTATACTTCTATATAATATATTTTGAAGGCTGTTAAAAAAAACAGGTTCTCAATTAGACTCATTTTTTTACCTCATACCTCCGCCAGTTATAAACCGGTTTGGAAAATACTTCTTTATGTGTAGGGATATATGTAGTTTCAGAAAGGTCTCATAGAAATTTTATCATGTATATGTATGTGTATGTATATTCAAGTGCAAACTTGAAAAAAAAGATAAAACGGTTATTTTAACAACTTGCTGACAAGGGTGGGTTTTTTTTTGATGGGTGAAAATGGTGTTACTCAGGGTGAATGTAGCTTTCTAACGGTGAAAGAATGTTTGAAATCGGCAAAGTAGTTTTTGTGTTTATTCATTACAAACATACATACACACAAAAATACAAATCTTTCCTCTTTATAATATTAGTGTAAATGTAGATTAGTGTAAATAATAAGGGGGTCGCGTCCTTTTTTTTATACAACTTAGAATGGCAAACGAGCTGACGGCCCACCTGATGGGAAGTGGTAACCGTCGCCTATAGACATGAGCAGTACCATGGACATAACAGAGTATACTGTTTCCACCCATGATACCCCCCCATGTATTGCCATTCCTGAGGACTCAGGTGTTATTCCTCTGTACCCAGTAAATTCACGCCATATCGCACCCTTCAAACCGAAACACAGCCATGCAAACACAACTGCTTCATGATTGAAACACGAATGTGACAGAGGTACCTAAGCAATCGACTTTTGTACAAAGTCTCCCTCTGGTCATGAAAAAGATTAAAAAACATTGCATTATATTATTTAATACTGGCACAGTAAACTTATGCCCATGTGCGTCAAACGCCGCCGCGCGGCCCTCACTATCAAATATGGTGCGTAAGGTGAACTCCCACATGTTATGGCGACGCGGACACCACCGGTGGAATGTATGAATCAATTACCACTCAACAGCGTTCACAGTAAAGCTTACACTTCGTTAAGAATGCCTTGACGGCATTTTAACCAACTTCAAATAAAGATTGCATCCCACAAAATCTTATGTATAAAATAAGTGTTTGTTACCAAACTCCTCCGAAACGGCTTTACCGATATTTATGAAATTTTGTGTGCATATTCGGTTGGTCTGAGAATCGGCCAACATCTATTTTTCATACCCGTCAATGATAAGGGTGACCCACCCCAAAAATTTTTTTTATTTTTTTGACATTTTTTTTTATTTTTATTATATTATAATTTAGCATTGAAAAATACATACAAATTAAAATTTTCACGCTTTTACGATCAACCCCTGTATTTTAATTGCGATTTTTATATTTCGCAATAAGTAGTAAAACAACGTTTACGGGGTCAGCTAGTAAATATATATATATAAATTGATTTTTATTTTGATAAATATCAATTGATTTTTTCCTGTCTTCTGAACTAAAAATTTTGGAGATTAGTTTATCCTGGCAACACGTAGCGAAAAACTACAATTCAGAATAATTTAGATTGTTTCCCAAAATGGCAACCTCATAACAATAATAATATTATATACGTATTTAGGGTCTACTGCAACTCAGTGTCGTAGCTTCAGATTTGAAACTGTGACATATGCTGAGTTAGGTGCTTTGCACAAACACTGCTACATTCATTTCGTTTTTTATATGTTTTTCTTTTATTCTAAATTAAAAGTAAAACAGTAATGTTATTATATAATTGTGTAATCTTTATTATTATGTTGTTTTGTCATTTGTAACATGTATAATTTATATTATTTCTCTTAAAAAGCGATTGTATTTAACTAACGATATTATTTAAATGAAAAGTTTGTTCAATGTATATATAAATAAATAAATAAATAATTAAATAAATAAATTATAATAATAGGCACTTGTTTTCTTTTTTAATTGTTCATTAAAAAAATATTTCTCAAATAAAGACTAAGTAATTCTTTTGTTACTTGTTAAAAGTTTTTTAAATAATAAATGTAGTAATAATTTGATATTTATTTTATTTTACAAATTCCTTTCACATTTTTAAGCGTGTAATCCCTTTACAGAATGAAATTCTCTTCTTTTTCTTAGCCGGGATATATATATATATATAAAAAAAATGGATTTTTGATATTTATTATAAAAATCGGATTTTTCCGAACTCTGATTTCAATCATGACAAAAGCAGTTATTTTGATTGAACACTAAACCTATCAAGCGCAGTCAAATGACCGTTTTTGAAATTTAGTTTAACAATTTTCATGTATAATGTTACTGTATCAACATGCAACTTATTGACTTTTCCTATAATATACATACAAGCCATGTTTCAATATTAACAACTTACTATTATTTATTTGTTTACTATCCAATTGGCTAAAATTTCTTTCTATATTTTTTTTTACATATACAACTTAGAATGGCAAACAAGCTGATGGCCCACCTGATGGAAAGTAGTAACTGTCGCCTATAGACATGAGCAGTACCATGGACACAACAGAATAAACTGTTAAAAAAAAAAAGGAAAAGAAAAACAAAGGAGGAGGTTTGAAAAAGGAGTTGTATCTCCTATTTCCAATTAGAACATACATAAAAGGCTTGTTTGTTTTTTTTTGTTTATAACACAGGGGGCAAACTTGATGATAAGTGACTACCACCGCCCATGATCACCCACAACACCAGACGCATTGCATGCATGCTAGCAGCCATTTAAAAAGGAATATGCTCTTTTCTTGTAAGTTATGATGTTATATCGGTTTACAAATACATGTAATACATGCATGGAAGAAAGTGCCTTGAAAAACGTAGTGCCTTGGAAAATGCATGATGGAGGACCACCACTAGTCCAGATGGTTGGGATTAAACTTTAGTTTGGCGGTGTTGTAGGGTGGTTAAAATAATCACAGCAACACTCTCTATAGGAAATGTCAATTAAATAATTGAATATATATTCTTTATTGCACTTGTAAATTACATGGTTAATGCATTTCAATAGTTAATTTTTCATTTATTAAACAACATATGTGTCATACAGTCAAGTTAATTATACATTTGTGTACATTTTCATTATGTTCCATAGAAGCAGACTATAATTAGACATAATTAGCCTCAAAGAATGTTATGATGTAAGAAACTCATTGGCCACCATAGAGTCTGATATAATTTTAGTTTATTGTGATCCATAAAACAGTAATTTCGTAAAATTATTTATTTATTTATTTAACTGTGAGCTAAGGACAGGTAATATTCAATATAGATATTGAATATTGGGGGAATGGGATTGTTAGTAACGCAAACTACCAGTCCCATTGCTAGCAATATACCCTATCAAGTCAACCTCCCCGTGATCCTCCTGGAAACCATCGTGCTGTATTCCAGGTGTATTCATCTTGATGGGCGAACTAACCTGCCTTTTCTTTTTCACCTATCATCCCTAACTGGTGCCCCGCCAGTGTTTATTGTTATCACATGCGTGACATACCATTAAGTTCCTTTAGTTGCCTTTTACAACACCCATGGTCATGGAAATGGTGGTCCATACAATGCCAGGATCACACAGTGATATACTATATATATAATAATATAGTGACAAATGTTGGTGAGTGAATATTCTTAAGGACAGCCATATTCTTAGATCAGTCATTTGAAATGGATTTACCCTTCAATGATCAATTAATATAATAAATAAGATATATATGAAAGAAGAATTACAAAATATATTGGATACAAATTAGAAGAGTCAATAGGGGGTAAACTTAAAAGCTTATTTACATGAATCCATGTAAATCCGACTAAACCATTTTTAAAAAATTGCGTTCACACTCACTTTTTATTTTTTATCCGAGCAATAAGTGCTTTATATTATTCCCAAATTCATGTATAATATAGTATATATCATATATGTGTAAGTATATTTGTTATTCATATATATTTATTCGTTTATATATGTAATTTTAGTATGTATGTATATCAATAATTAGTAGTACCACATTTGAGTATTCTGACACTTCCCTATGGTTGACTGGGAGAGAATGCTTTTAGCATTAAGTCCGCCATGTACACATATTTGTACTAATGAATAAATAAATAAATAAATTAAATAGGCAACATGCTGAAGAAGGGCCAAATCAAAAGTACCCATAACTGGAAAACATGAATAGAATGATGAATGTGTTTGAACCCAAGACTGTCATTGTATTGTTTTTGCCTACCACAATAGGTAAAAGGGGTGATATACATCACCCAAAGGGGTGATGTATATATGCATGTAAAAAAAAGGTATTATCAAATAATGGGTTTAAATTTAAACAACATTGTTTAATATTTATTTAATCGTAATTCAGATAGAGGGGTGTAAGGTTAGAATTTAAATTATGGTATTTGAAACAATTCAAATATGTATTTCTAGTAGTTGTTGCATTACTGAATAATAATTGATTAACGTTATTGAAAAACAAATTCGCTAACTTATATTATGAAATAGGCAAGTAATTGATTTACTATGTTTATGATACTATAAATAAAATATAAAAAAAAATATAATTTATCATGCCTTTGGATGGTCTATTTATAAAAAGACATTCAAACAAAATAACAAATTATTTAATTTTACATCTGGACAAATGATGTCATCACCGTTTCAACCAATTGAGTCTCGGTGAAAATTTATCAACAGTGACAATGTCAACCGTAGGCATATTATTATAATTCATAATATCCTTGCCTTATTATTACGTGTACGGTTATATTTGTACACAAATTTGTCGAAGGGGAGTTATTTTAGACACAGCGCGAGTGGTAGGCCGGTATAGGCGTAACAGAAATAAAAGATTACAATATAAAATAAGCAAAGATGTCTCGCGATATGTCAAAATAGCCAACACTTTTGCAAAGTGTCGTTACCATTATTTCCTACTTGTTGCAGTGTTGAAATTGTATAAATATAATGATACTACCGTTATATCTCACGTTAATATCGCAAATATATTTGTAACAAAGAAATAACTGAGTAATTCGTTAATAAAGTCACCTTACGATATTTCCATTTTTGATTTGACCTGAACAAAACACTTCCTTACAGGCACACACAAACACTATCCGGTGTTCACTATTTATTTACAGTTCACAATTAGCGTAGAAAAACAATAAATTCGTTCATGTAATTATTTTTTCGTGAAAAAACGTATCGCAGTTTAAAAATGAGAAAAGATTCACCAATATAACGCATGCCCAACAAAAATTTACATCACGTGACCTGTCATGGCGTCATAGATAGAACCATAAACTATTAGTAATTTTTTTTAGAAATTCGCATTATGCAAAGGAATATACTCTTAACAACATACTATATACATCCGTATCTGTCACGCCTGTTCTTAAAAATATCTAAAATCTAAATAGATATATAAAAAAATAGTATATTTATACCGTGTCTTATTTACTATCTAACTTTACGTTTTTAATATTTTTAATATTCAAATATTTAGTGGTAACTTTATGATGGCTTTAGGTAACTTCATACGTTTTTGTCTACAGTCTTAAAATATGAACTAAGAACTATTGTGACTTAATTTCACCGTATATTATGTTAATAATGATTTAATATAATTATAAGCTATAGAAAATTTGTGAACAAAGTGCAAAACAAACACACCTTTGTTGTTGTCGTTATTTCACAATAGATGGCGTATATTTACATGGAGATGAATGATGTCCTTACACGATAATAGATGGCATAAAAACAATACAAAAAATATCAATCAAATATGTATATATATTCCTTTCTCATAGTGGATAAATTGAACTATTATTATTTAATCCGGAATAAAACATAGCTTATGAACTCATAAGCTCGTTACTGTTATTAATAAAGATAAAATCTTGTTTTATTTCATTAGCTAAAATATCGTACTCAACCTACGAAACGCTGTATGAAAATTCTAAATGTCAAAATATAATATAATTATTGCTTTAATTAACTGTATTTGGCTTGATTATTTCCTATATTGTATAATGCAAATAAATTATACTCATTCACAATATAGGAAATTGGTAGTAGCACTCACCAGTATTAAGCAACGCCGGGATCTAGAATGCTAGAATACATATCGCCTGTCATTGAACCAAGGTGGTTCTTAACAATTCATTCATTCATTACCAATAATTATAAAAATAATACTCTACGAAGTGTAAACTATTGTTTTTATTTTTTTATTTTCAAATTAATAGTTACACATATCCATAATAAAATAAAATTGCATGTCGCCGTCTTATTTGATAAACATAATAACACAGAAAAGCACTTCCCAAGTAATACAAATTTAATGACAGTAGTCGCAAATAGATGAATAGATCAGATAATTAATAATAAAAGAAACATGGACCAGGATGTGGAACTCTCCAACACATAGGGCCGAAATCGTCCCAACACCTTGGCATGAAGCATTTTCTTCTTCGCTGCCCTGAACCAGTGCAGTCGCAAATAGAATTTTCTCTGTCTTCGAAGTTTGGAGTACTTCTTGCTGTTCTTCTTTGTGATGAATGTGTCAAACCCGGTGTCGCTGCTAAAGTTCTTGACCTTAAATTGTGAGCATTCGCAGGTGAAATGTCAGGTGAAAGGTCAGGAATACTGGATGTCATCGGGCAAGATGTGGCTCTTGAACTTATTGGAGTTTGGTTCACAGCTCTTAAATTTATTGGAGGGGCAGCGTTTGTTATTTGAATTCCGACAGTTTTTCTTTCGACTGGAGATCTGTTTCGACACGAAACAGGCACATTTTGGGTTGGAATAGGAATATAACCAGTCGCCTGATCAAATCTATCTGTTTCGATATGATTTGAATTTATCATCTGATTGGTCATAGATTCCCTCGCGGTAGAAGTTTTTGGTACAGATATAGGAACATAAATTTGGTATGTTACCGAAGGTTGAATGTCATTAGAAATGTGAGGTAATTGGGTGTTTTGATCTCTTACAGTATTGCAAACTTTATTACATGTCATTTGGTGTGATGGTTTTAGCGCATTACCCGATGTGCGTTGCAACGATAACCATTCCTCGCTGTAGTGATGTGGTTTTGCAGGACCGTGAGGGAATGTCGATGGCACAGTCAGATATTTTCCACTTTTTGAACTTCCAAAACTGCCTTTATAACCTGAATAGCCGTGTTGACGAAGTATGTCAGTTATATTTGATACGCCATCAGGAGATGATTTTCTATCCGAGTTATTGTCTTTGCATTTACTCACAAAAGCTTTAACGTCTTTTGCATTTCCACTGTCGAATTTTCTTAGTGATCTAACTACTTCCTCTTGCACATTATCTTTAGTGTAGTTATGTCCAACTTGTTTTATATTTTTGGCAGAACTCTGTGCTTGTGGAAAAGGTATTGAAATATTGATTTGATCTGTTGGCGAAGGTTGAATAACTTTAGAAATATGAGGTAATTGAGCATTTTGTTCTGCTACAGTGTTGCAAACTTCTTTACATGTCATTCCTTGTGCGGCTTTTAGAGCATTACCGGTTGTGCGTTCTAATGACAACCATTCTTCGCTGTACTGAGGTAGTCCTACGGGAACATGAGAAAATAACTGGCCAGGAGGAGCTGAAATATCATCACTCCGTAAAGTTTTGAAACTGCCCTCATAATTTGAATAGCTGTGATGACGAAGCATTTCAGTCATATTTATCGAGTCATTGAAAGAGTCGGGTTTTTTTATTGGAGACGCTTTTCTATCTAATTCATTGTCTTTAAGTTTTCTCACAAATTCTTCAACATTTTTTTCATCAATTTCTCTAATTAGTTTTCTTAAGGATCTTACTATCTCTTCTTTTATTTTCTTATCATTGGCGCAGTTGTGTCCACTTTTTTCTATTTCATGTAATCGTTTTGCTAAACTGGACTCTACTTGCTTTTTTAAGTGTCTATTCTCTATTTTATCTGCAGGTAAAGATTGATTTAAGAATTCTTCAACAGCATTTTTCATATTTATTTCTTCAACTATTTCCCTAATGGCGTCTTCATTAGGTATTGGTGTTTTTGCTAATTCACATAATAATTGATTTCGTATAATCATAGGATCAACGGGTTGTCCTTCTTTTTTATTAGCTATATCTAGAATATATTTCAGTAAAGCATCATCCACCTTATATTTATATATTTGTTTCTCTTCAATATTATCTCTTTTATAATTATACTGAATAAAATTGTTAACAATTTCTTCTTTAAGATCATTGAACAGAGCTAATTTATCAGCAGTTGTATTTTGAGGCTCGTCTAGTATGATAGATATAGTACGTTTAAGTTCTTCTTTGTATTCATGGCGGGCTCTTTCTGCTTTAATAAGAGGTTTAACAGTGTTAAGAGCTTCCATTAATTGAAATTTTCTAACTTCTTTACTTTTTTGAAATGTGCAACATACTGGGAGAGTAGATAATATATTTTCTAGTTCGTTATCAAATAAATTGTCAAATAATAAATCATCATTGAAAGTTTTAGGGTCGGCGTTAAGTTCACTAATTATAATAACAATTTTCGTGACAAGGTCATCTTTTATTTCATTTATATTTATATTTATTTGAGCACCATTCACATTTAAAGGTAGATCAGCGCACCAGTTTTCAACTATTTCTAAAATAAGATCCGCTGGTTTTTTCTTTGAAAGCTGTTTTTGACAACAAGGTTGTTTTGTTGAGGTTGTTGGACTTCTCCATATTTGACCTGCACTACTGGGGCCTGCAATTTGACTTGTTCCTAAAATACCTTTAGTTTTAGATTTTTTTTGTACTGTTTGATTTTTGAGTCTATCATTACCTTGTAATTTACCTACATATTTTCTGTTATCTTTAGTATTTTTAAGTGTTGTCTGTAATTGATTTATATACTCTTCCATATTCATACTGTGTTCCGAATTTATAGGCAGTCTATACAACCATTTACTTATTTCTTTTTGTATCTTTATATCTGGCGTAGATTCATTATTTTCTATTTCGTGTATTCTCTTTGCTAACATAGACAATATTTGATCCCATTGTAAAAGTTCATCAAAAGAAGTAACTTTTTTTAAAGGCACACTTTTAAACCAGTCCTCAATTACATACTTTGTCTTAATTTTTTCTATTTCTTTAATAACAGAACGTTCATCAGGAATCGGAACTTTAAACAAAGCACTGTAAAGTTCATTATACAATTGATCTCTATTTATGGATACGGCGTTTCTTTTCTGAGCTTCGAAGGAAAGCTTATCAATTTCATCCTTTATTTTCATTTCATATTTTAATTTTTCCATGCCATTTCCATGATCAAAATTTTCCAATATAAACATATTAACTAAGTGATTCTTATATAATTCGAAACCTGGATCATGATTTTGTTTGTTTTGTATTGGAATCGGTATTGATGCTTCAACAGCATGTGCTAGTTTTTGTTTATAATTTTCGCCACTAGATTTTTCTTTAATGATTGTCTTTGCATCCATAACGTTTCGAATCAGTCTTGTCTTGATATCCTCCCAGTTATTCAGTAGATCAGGGTTTCTGGGTAAATTTTCCAATACTGTATCGATTTCATCACTTAATATGTCTTGATATAACAAGTCATCGTTACAAAATCTTGGATCTAGATTTAAATCCCCAACTCTTTGGAACAACTGTTTTGCTATATCATCTTTAATGGTCTTAACAGTATCTTTATTATCCTCTGCAATTGGCAAATCACGACACCAATTTTCAATCGCTTCCATAATTAACGTGCCTGCATTTTTATTTTTCAGATCCTGACTTGACACTGATACATTTTTAAGGCTTTTAGTTTGAGGTTTAGTTTTAGTACTTTTTTTAATCAGACTACTACGATTACTTTTATTTTTCGTTTGTAGTACATTATCTGTAGGTTGTTTATTAATGTCTTTATCAATTCTTTTCATAAGTTGTTGTATTACTACTGGCGTAGAAAACTGTGTTTTCGTATTAAGAGGAAGTTCTAATATCCACTTTGTAATGAAATTCTCTAACTCAGTGTTATATTCTGGTACTTGATCAATATTATTAGTTTTCTTTTTAACAATTTCTGATATTTTTTCTGCTAGTTCAGTGATCATTTTAATCCTCGAATCTCTGTCTTTTGAATTTTTAATGGATAGTAATGGCAAATTATTAAGCCAATCAGAGATTTCTTTTGCATAAGTCAACTCTTGATTAAAATTGCTAATTATTTCGTCTTCAGGTATATGAATCTCACTTAACTTATTATATATCTCAGCTTTACATAACGCTGTTGGATCTGTACTATTTTGTACAATTGTTTTTATCTCTTGTAGTACTCTTTTTGTCCAAGCATCTAATTTAACTTGATCATCAGCAATATTCTTACTATTTATATGGATATATTGCTCTATGAATTCCTCTAAATTTTGTTCTTCTAATTTATCGTCAATAGAAGAGTTTCTTCGTCTAATATTTTGGCAATCTGTCGATGACCGGGTTTCAACTATTTTTGAAATTAATTGATTTACTATTAGTGTAATATTACTTACATGTTCGGGTAGAATAGGTAATTGTTCTATATACTGATTTATGATTGAAGCTAAATACACATTATAGTCCATTGCAGTAGGTGCCGCTAGTCTATCCATTTCAATTTTATATATATTTTCAGCCAAATTATTTACAAATTCGATTCGCTGTTTATTTCCAGGTGTATTATAAGAATGATTTATTGGTATATTCTTTAACCAATCAGATATTATTTTAATGTACAGCAATTCTTTATCCAATTGTTTTAAATGATAATCTTTATGTGATTTTGTATTTTCGATTTTTTTATATAATTGTTTTCTGGTTGGTGGGCTTAATTTTCTAAATTCAGATTTTAGTAGTTCACAAAATGCTCCTTTAGCCATAGCATCTTCTGCGTTATAATTATGTTCTATGTATTTATCTATTAATTGTAACAATGTTTTATCAAGATCTTCATTGTATTTTGACGCATCTCGAACATCTGTTTTGTCTTTGTTTTGATTTGTGATATTTGGTTGAACTACTTCAGCATCTTGCTTCAATTTTTTATCTAGTGAGGCCGCTAAGGTAGCATCTTGTGGTAACTTTATTATCCTCTCTTTCAGCTGGTCAGTCAATATATCGATGTTTATTTTCTTTTTCAGGACTATTACATTATTAAGCCATTTAGTTACTTCTTGAGTTATTTCAGTTTCTGGACACTTATTTTTCAGTTTTACCTGTAAAATTTCAGCTAACTCATGTATAGCTTTATTTTGATGATCTTTATTTTTATTTATATAAATACTAGATGGTTGTTCATTCATCCAGATAGAAATTTCATCTTCCAAAATATCTATGCCTTTTGGTACAAAATATTCTTTCCAAGCTAACTCTCCTTGCATATGTTTAATATTATCCATTACTTGTCTGTTTCCGTGTTGAGGTTTAGTCATAACAGGTACTGGTATTTCCTCTAAATGCCTCATAAAATTATTTACATGCGTTTCTGGGTCATCTAAGTCTTCCAAAATATCGAACTTAAGTAGCCATTTGTATACAAAATATTTTATCATTATATCTCTGTCTGTATCTGCGTGCGGTGCGAATTGTTCTAATTTTACTTCATCCATTATATCGCCAGCTAAATCGTATATTATAGTTTCTTTAAAGTTTTTATCTTTTGAATAACTAAACTGTTCAGGTAATGTATCCATCCAGGCTCTTATAAGCGTTGCAACTTTACTCATGTACTTTTGTTCATCGATGTTCAATTTTGAAATTTCCTTTTTAATTTTAGGACTTTGCTTAGACGGTAATGTTATGGAATAATTAGACGGTCCAGCAATCTCATGCTCCGATGTAAGGACGAGAACATTTCCAGAATGACATGGTTGGTGAATGATGTCAGTTGAATATATTGCATTATATAATTCATCAGTCACGCATCTTACATTTTTAACTAAATATACAGCAATATTAGAGGCCTGAGGTTCAGATATATTGTAGTTATTGCGTAAAAGGTCACATATTTCCACTTTTGCATACAAATCTTTATCTGAATTAATTGAATTAAAATTATCAATCAAGATATCTGATATGTTTTCTTCAATCTCATCGAATGAATCCATTTTGTTAAGTTCTAAAACATTTTTAACTTTTTCTGAGATAATACTTTTGAGATTATTATTATTTAAGGCTTGTTGTTTATATAATCCATGAATATTAGAATTTTTACAACACACATTATCAAACTGAACACCCGATAATCTATTAATTAAGTCCTCAGCATATTTACTACATATATATTTTTTATTATGCACACAACTAATAGAAATTGGCATCGTTTGTAAAATTTTCACAATTTCAGCCTTTAACATTCTTTTATTGTCGAATGTAACCGGTCTTTTTAATAATGGTTCGAGTCGATTTGCGATTAAATGTTTTATTTTATGTCTGTCTGTAATAACATCACACTTGTCAGATTTTTCAAGTTTTATTTTCAAGAACCAGTCATATATTTCTTCATTTAACAAATTATAATTGTCATTTAAATACATTTTATTGCTATATCTGTTACTTAATGGCATATTTTGGATATCACCTGAGTTTTTTTCATTAATATCAAAATCAGTATCAGTATCTTTAACAAATGTTTTTTCATTTATCCATTTAATTTTTTGAAACAAATTTTCTGTTAATCTTTCAACAAACAGTTCTTGATCGCGTGTCGCTCCCGGATACCACATGGGTAGATTATTTAGGAAAATATAAATGCACTTTCTAATATTTTCTTCATTATTGCCACAATTGACATCAACGGAGAGATTATAAAGCTCATCCAATAATTCATTCATCATATTTTCTCTCATCAATTTTGCGGACGGTTCGAAATTTGGATAGATCGGTATTTCTTGTAACCATTTAATGATTTCACTTTTTAGATTATTTTTATAATTATTTTCAGGTGCTATCCCGTCCCACGTTTCAGTTTTTTTTAACGGACCATTAGCACTGTTCTTTACATGAGTCTCTCGATTGCTGTGTGTGCCTTGACTCATATTGTCGAATGCTCTTGATATCTGGCAAGGTACGTTTTTTCTTGAACTTGAAATATTGAGGCTGGTCATTGAGGTTGGTGATACGGAAACCTGGAAGAATCATAAAATGAATAAGTGAATTTTATTTACTAATTATTGTGAATTGCTAGGAGCAGATTTTATTTTACCACTAGCTGCTGCCTGCGACTTCGCCTTTCGTAAAATAAGTAGCCTATGTCCTTCTATACGGTTCAGTGGTTTTGATGTAACAGACACATTTTCCTTCACTGCTCTGCTCCTATTGATCGTACCGTGATGAAAAGTATACTATAACCTGCCCAAGAGTATGAAGAATAATTGTACCAAGTTTAGTTAAAATACAGATAGACAGACAAAAATTTTACTGCTTGCATTTATGGCATCAGTATCGATCACTAATCACCCCCTGATAGTTATTTTGGAAATATATTTAATGTACAGAATTGACCTCTCTACAGATTTATTATAAGTATAGATTACATGCTGTGCAGTCCCGGTATAGAATGAACTGTCCCTTTTTTGGGATGTGGGTCCCGTGGGTATCGTATGAGGTGATTAAGGAAATTTAATAGTCGATGGCTGATGATCGTTCCTCTTAAAACATCACCTTACTACAGTTTCCAATCCACCCAAGCGTTTGCTTGGCCACCTCTGTCCCATTCGTGTTTCAACCGTGAAGCAGTTGTGTTTGCATGGCTGTGTTTCGGTTTGAAGGGTAGGATATGGCAGTGAATTTACAGGGTACAGAGGAATAACACCTGAGTCCTCAGGAATGGCAACTCATGGGGGGTATCATGGGCGAAACGGTATACTCTGTTATGTCCATGGTTCTGCTCATATCTATAGGCGACGGTTACCACTTTCCATCAGGTGGACCGTCAGCTTGTTTGCCATTCTAAGTTGTATAAAAGAAGTCAGCCGTTAACTGTCCACTGTTGAACATAGGCCTTACCCAAAAGGGAAAGTTTTGCCATTAGCTGCTGCGCTTAGCAGGCGGTTTGGCAACCGTAGTCAGGCTTTAACAAGGATATTGCTACCCATCGCTCTAGCATTGAGTTCCCTTAGTCGCCTCTTACGACATCTCGGAGAAAGTAAGTGGCAGGCTATTCTATGCTGGGAACACACGGTTAAATTCTAATATTAGGAGGTAGTTGTAAATAAATACCGTATCAATAAGTGCCTCTTCACATCCTTGCGTGTTTGACGCAGTCGACTGCTTATGGTGTACCCCGCGGTGGTGACCGAGTCTCTCCTTAATCATTGGACACAGATGTTGGTTGCAGGTCTGAAATTATTTGCTTTTAGCCCTCCAAGGTTGTCTCTAGGGATTAAAGTGTGTGGTTGGAGGGAAAGGGATTGTTAGTAACGCGGATTACCAGTTACATTGCCAGTAATATATTTTGTCCGGGTTACTTTTGTCAGGTTGACCTGGAGGTCAACCTCTGGAAACCATCCTGTTGAATTCTAAATGTATTCATCACGATGGGCTAACTGACTTGCCTTTTCATTCTCACCTATCATTCCGCACTGGTGTCCCGCCAGCGTATACATTTAGCGCGGGCGGAGTTACCATGCCATTCTCATCTATTAAAAAAAAGTGTATTATGGTTCCTTCAGGGTCGGCAAAGGTGTTGCAGGCGTCCATAGGCTACAGTTTATCAGATTTTCATGCTATATGCTTGTTTGCTATTTTCGTGTAAAATAAAATCTTGGGCTATACCTATCACCCCATTTGACAGGTTTTTTTATTGTGAAAATGGAATGGCAACTCTGCCTGTGCTATCGGTGTACTCTGGCTGGGCACCAATGATAGGTAAAGATGAAAGGTCAGGCCAGTTGGGCTGTCATCGTGATGAATTCATCTGAGATTAAGTTCGATGGTTTCCAGGGGAAACCACGAGGAGGGTAACCTGACTTGCTAGTAATATGCCGTGTCACGTTGTTCCCACTGTCATTATTTTTTGCGGAAGTCACAATGGACTAACTGACCAGCTTTCATCCCCTATCATGTCTCACTGTGCCTCGTCAGGGTGTACCGATAGCGCATCCGAGATTAGCATTTTCACCCACCAAAAAAAAAAGTGTGTGATAAGACCTCGTGGGATGGAGTGAGGATCTCAAAAGTGAAGTAAGGAGTCACTTTTTTCTTTTTTTTTACAACAGAGAGCAAACGAGCATGTGTCTCACCTGATGGTAAGTGACTGGACGCAAACGACGCCTGATCGCACTTCGTGGGGAAATATGAGGAAGGCTTATGTTCAGCAGTGGACGATGGACTACTCTTAACTTAAAACTAATGATGTCCAGATATCGTGCTATTATATTCTCCAGCATTCCAGGAATGTAATTATCAACTGAATTCATAATATACTTTAACGAAAGGGTCAATTAATAATGATTTTTTTTTAAAAGTTATGTCGCACATAATTTCTATTTGTCATTTATTATTTTCTATCGAAAAGAAATATTATGGTACCTTAAGTATATCTTAAACCAGAAGGAGACTCTGTACAAAAGTCGTTTGCTTGGTCACCTCTGTCCCATTCGTGTTCCATTCTCTGTTCTACCGTGAAGCAGTTGTGTTTGCACAAAGTTAAAGAGTGGGATATGGCAGTGAATTTACAGGGTACAGAGAAATAACACCTGAATCCTCAGAAATGGCAAGGCATGGGGGTATCATGGGCGAAACCGTTATGCCCATGGTACTGCTCATGTTTCGAAGTCGGTTCCAAATCGACAACACAATTTGACATAAATGATTTCGACAAATTGTAATAAGTAAGTGAGATTATGAGAATAAAGCCGTATGGTCCCGGCATTGTATGTGCCACCACTTCCTTTCCCGTGGGTGTCGTAAGAGGCGACTAAGGGAGAACGAGAGATGGGCAGCAGCGTCCCTCTCAAAACATCACCAAGGCTAACTGCGGTTGTCAACCCGCCCGCTAAGCGCGACTGTTACTGGCAAAACACCTCCTTATGGGGGAGGCCTTAAGCAAAGGACATTTAATGAAGGATATAATAAAAACAGAAAAATAAAAATATTTGCGAACGCTACTGTATACAAGTGTTACTTACAAAAATGAATTTTAAATCCCATCAGCTATCTATATCCAAATCTGCAGCATCAACAACATTGCCATTTTCTGTTACTGTCTTCAAACCTTATTTAGATAGGCACATTTTAAAGAGACGCGTCCATTCCGGATCACTAAAAGTTGTATGAAATTTACATTAAATGCAAGACATTTATTTCATTGTAAAATTATTATTTTGATTGTTTATATGTGTTAAAGGTACTGTGACTTATGTCAGGCTTAGATTATAAAGAATACTCAAAGATTTCGGAATTAAAATTGTCCTTAGAAGATACTAAGAACAAGGACAGAATATGTGTATATTATACTAAGTCTATGGCGTCACAAAGGTAGGTAACTCTCAGTTGCAAGCTAAGAACAAGGAATTACATAGATGGAATAATAAAATAAAAACTGTAAATCATATGGTTGCCTCCTCTCTTCTTACGCATATATAATTAGTAAAAAGAGGACGAAAGATACACCATCAGTTGCTATTTTTCTCAATTCATAGCAGGCTAGTGTTTAGGAAATGTTTGATATGTCAATTATTTGACAAATTTTACATTACTAGATTATATATTCGACACAGTTTATGTAGAAAGTATGCAAGCGGGTTATATCTGAATTTGGTAGGGTTATACGGCCGTATAACATTTTCTATAATTGTTATTTTCGATTGCCATTTTGCAACCCTTTTTCAGAATATAAAAATCGCTATTAAAAAACAGGGGTTGATCGTAAAAGGGTAAAAATTTGAAGCTGTATGTATTTTTCAATGCTTAGTCATAATAAAATAAAAATAAAAAAAATGTCAAAAAAATAAAAACTAATATTTAAGGGTAGGTCACCCTTATCATTGAGGGGTATGAAAAATAGATGTTGGCCGATTCTCAGACCTACCCAATATGCACACAAAATTTCATAGAAATCGGTAAAGCCGTTTCGGAGGAGTTTAGTAACAAACACTGCGACACGAGAATTTTATATATTAGAATATTCTATGGTTATTTTCTGGCCGAATGACAGGGTTATCATTTAAAAAGAAGAGACATATATAAGGTACAAATGGCGTAGACAATTTGACATCCGTCTTTTTGCGTAAAAATTCTAAATCTTCTAAGTTACTTTATCTGATAACACTAATTACAATATTATAAACTGCAATTTAGACGAATAACAAAATTCATGTGAAGAAACATACGTAATGTATGTATAATATTTTATTTATTTATTTATTTAACACTTTATTGCACCAACATAACAGGATTTGTTGAACAATTTTCAATAAGTATAGTGTAGTACAAAAGGCGGTCTTATTGCGAAGCAATCTCTTCCAGACAACTTTTTTATATTAGAATGTCATCGCCATCATCATTTCAGCCATTATCCGTCCACTGCTGGACATAAGCCTCTCCCATAGACTGCCATAAAGAGCGGTCCTATGCCACCTGCATCCACTGACTCTCTACAATGCATTTGAGGTCGTTACTCCATCTAGTGAGCGGGTCGTCCTACACTGCGTTTTGGCTCGTTGCCATTCCTGAGGACTCAGGTGTTATTCCTCTATACCCTGTAAATTCACTGCCATATCCCACCCTTCAAACTGAAATAGCCATGCAAACCTATCTGCTTCACGGTGGAAACACGAATGGGATAGAGGTGGCTAAGCAAACGCCTTTTGTACAAAGTCTCCCTCTGGAAAATAATTACTTTTTAATTAATGGTGGTGGAATTGTGTACTTATCTAAGCCAACGATATACGGTGGTGGGGCACTAATGAAAGGTAAAACCTTAATGATTAAGCTAAATCTGTGAACCCATCGCTTGTGGCAAATTCACGAGAAATTAACCATGATCGTGTCCAGAGGAGATAGCTTAGAGAAGTACAATATATTATTGGTAACGCGAATCCGCCGTGTGTGACCTGGCATAGAATGGGCCACCTCTTCTTTTCCCGTGAGTGTCGTAAGAGGCAGCTAAGGGAGGGCGAGGGATGGGTAGCAGCAGCCCTTTTAAAACATCTCTAAAAGCCTAACTGTGTTTGCCAACCCGCCTGCAAAGCGTGGCAACAACTGGCAAAACTCTCTTTATGGGGAAGGCTTATGTCCAGCAGTGGACAGTTAACGGCTGAAATAGGAATAATAATGGGGATTAACATCTCTATTTCTAACAATCTCTTTTCCCCCCAAAATTCACGGCATGCCAATTCTCTTAATTTCAGTCAAATCCTCTTAAAGACAACCGATTGTTTTGAGGCGTCATGGAATGTGGTGAGGGTATGGTGGCGGTAATTCGAGGTTTACGGAATGCTAGCTTAGCGGTGACACTGTTGGATGGTGGGAAACAGTACACACTTGTGCCGAATGGTGGTGAGATAACATTAAAATTTTTGGAATTTAATATTTAATTCTTGTTCTTTATTCAAGTATTTTCGGAGATCGGTATTTTTGAGGCTTTAAATACAAAACATGATTGGGCGGGGAATTATCAGTAATAGGAGACTAACTGCCTCATTGCTAGCAGTATATCCTGTCAGGGTTTCCACGTGGTCCGACCTGGAAAACATCGTGGTTCTTTCGTCACGATGAATGGCCAAGCTACTTTAACCCTTACTGATACACCGCCAGCGTATAACGATAGCACAGGGGGAGGGGAAGGGATTGTTAGTAATGTAGGTAATCCACCTATCCTATTGCTGACAATATACCCTATCGAGTCGACTTCTCCGTGGTTCCCCCTGGAAACTATCGTGCTGAATGCCAGGTGTATTTATCATGTTGGGCTAACTCGCCTTCCCTTTCACTCCCACTTATCATCCTTTACTGGTAGTCCGCCCGCGTTCACCGTTAGCACAGGTGGAATTACCACTGCATCACCATCCATTAAATAAAAAAAAATTATAAACGATAGTACCTACAGCAGTGGTATATTTTCATTATAAAAATGATATTTTAAAAAACTCGTGGCTATTTGCGAGACATATGCTGCATGCCACGGACTGATATACAATGCTGTGAAAAGTGTGGTCATGGTCTTTGAGAGCAGAGGCAAAAACTCAATAGGCTTTCCAGATATTAAAGTTAAGGGTATAGCGCTGAAGAGGGTGTATAAATTTAAATATTTAGGACATCAATTGGCCTCGGATCTCAAAGATGATGATGACATTGAACGGGAGCGGAGGGCG